TTAACATTTGCGAAAACTGGATCGAATAAAGCAACTTTAAAGAATTTCTTAGCTGGAATTTCAGGTCTTAAATTTGCATATTGACCATCAAACTGGTTAGAATATCGTGGTAATCCATCCGGTCCCTCTTCAATAGCATTTAATTCTTCATTGAAGTAAGAATATGGATTATGACGGTATGAATTAATTGGACCATTTTCACCTTCTCCAATGTATTGTTTAACAGCTTTTCCATTTTCATCAAATTGCATAGGATAATGTTCATTATATGCTTTACGTTTAGGATAATCCGTCATTGTTAATTTATACCCATTTATGACTTTAATATTTCCTTGACCATCAGTAACGAAAACTTCATTTATTCCATCAGGTTTTCCATTTGGACCCGTAATGTCTGCTTCGTGTGCTTCCCAATTTGGTCCGTGACGTTTGGCATATGCTTGAGCTTCTGGTAATGTTAAAACGTTTCTCATTTGTTTAACATCCTTTTGAAGACCGGCAACAATGTGGACTAATTCTTTCATTCCGTCTGGAACTTTCATAGTTCTATTATATGCACCCTTTTTGTTTGTTCCTTGTTTTAATGGAACCTGTAGAAGATTTGCAATTTCTGTCATGTTTAATTATAAATAAAAAATAAAAATTAATTATAAAAAGTTATTCGAATTTAATGGAACCTTTATTTAAATCAACTATTATTTTTCCATGTTCTCCTAATTGTTGATATTGTGTGTAAAGTTCATTAATGCTCATTGGTAAATTCACTTGATAAAGCATAACGTTCAACTGTTGACGACTAAAACCACTGAAAATGAAAAGGGTGGACAGGTTTGATTTAATGTTTGTGCTTAATGCTTTAAAGTATTGAACAGCCATGAAGAATGAACACTGAATGTGTCGACATTGAGTTAATAATTGATTAAAATATGATTTCTCATTAGTTATTAGTTTTGATTTCACCGCATCATCTAGAAAAATGAGTGAATGCAAAAATTCTCTATCAAAATTTGAAATAGAAAGTGTTTCAAATAATTCATCCCGTTGTTTATCAATAATTTTATCCTCTAATCCTTGCTTCTTGATTGTATTATATAATTCTTTATACATTACAAAGTTTTTTAAATAATCTTCTGCTTCTTCTTGTGATAAATAAATAATTGGAATTTTGATTAAATGCTTTAAAGATTCAAATGTATCATCTGAAGGTGAACCTGAACGGTTGATATAAATTAACACATGTGAATAGGGTGAAGTGTTAGCAATAATGATAATTTGTTTTAATATCGTTAATGTTTTACCTTTATTTTGTTTACCAATTGCTGCAGTGATTGAATTTAAGTAACATTCAGAATATGGAATTTTCATTAATTTTTCCTTAGATAGAGCATTTCTATTATCACTCAATGCTTCATTAATCATATCATCTACGTATGTATTATATACTCCTGCTAATTCTTCATAAGGGGTGGATGAATTTAAATCCATTTAATCAAAAATAAATTTATAATTTTAAACATTTCTATTCATCAATATTTCATCATATGAACTTCTATACTGCGGTGGTGTACCTGTTGGATGATATTTCAAACCTTCATCCGGTGTCCATGTCCAATATGTAGTCCTAGTAAACCAAACCTGAGGAGGATTTGTCACCTTTGAACAGTAAGTGTCATTTTCACCCTGAATGATTGGATAAGCTTTCACTTGTACTGTAACTTGTGAGTTGAAAGTTTCTAATCCATCAAAGAATATACCCGCTCCATCACGTTGAACTGGAATAGTGCATAAGAATGAAGTTTGGTCTTTCCATGTTCTAGCTAATGGCGTGCCATTATCATCATTCAGTGGTCTAGTTAATGAGTCCTCGTATTCTTCCGTGCATTCATTCACTCCATCTAAATCAGAAGCTTGAAGCATACGTGTAAAGAATATGTCGCCCACTGTGGTCATCGCTTGATCGGGGAAGTTTCTGGAATCTATAGTGACCTGAAGACCTCGAAGCATTGGATTTTCTAAAACCGTTCTTTGCATTGCATTCTTCGGAAATGTTAACACAACATCTGTAACATTATGAAGAGCGTATGAGAAATCTGAGCTATACCTTCAGGAGTGATGCAACCTCCATTTAGTGAACGAACGTCAATATGTTGAGCTGGAATCATGAATGGATCTTCCTTACTAAATAAACGTGGTATTGCTTTAACTGATTCTTCAATTAAACCGTATCCTGGTGTAATGCATTTATCCTCTAAAACTTCCATCTTTGTGCATGAAATAATAACGTCTTCAACTGTTGCGTCAGCAGATGTAGCGGCTAAGCTTGTAATTAATTTGGCAGGAAGTCCGATTTGTTGGAATTTGCGATCATATTTATAAACATGATTCATAATCTTTTCATAATTTTCATCAGTTATCTTTTCATAAACGTAATTTTGTAAATCAGCAACTCTTAACGGGTCAACCTGACAAAATACTAAAGTATCCCTGAAAACATAATATTTAAGAATGATTTCACCAAATGATTTAGGATAATCATCGAACGCCTGAAATGCTAACAAATCATTTACCGGAATAATCATATCAAAAGTGACATCAACTTCTTCATTTGCTTTCTTGAAAACTTCTGAAGGGTCAATATATTTACCACATACTGAGTTATCATATTTTTGAACATTATTATATAACGAATGAACAAACTTTTTAACTTTCCTTTCTGATTTTGGTTTATATGTTGCAAATGCGAAAGATTCACGGGCGCAATCCATCTGAAGATAACCGCATCACCTCTTTCGGTTTCTACTTCTAATTGTTTAAAGCTTTGATTTGATGATTTGTAACCAACGAATAAACGCATGCATTTAAAAGCGGCATCACATGTGAAAGCTTTATTTGAAACTAGAGTTGCTTTAACTTTGCGTTTAATATATGTGTCACCTAATTGGTTCACATCATGAGCCGGATTTGTAATTCTTAAATGAGTTTGTTTATCATCAAAATATGGAGCATCAGAGTCATAGCATGAACTTTCAAGTTCTCTATAATATCTTCTTCCATCATTCTTTGCGAATATTTCATTTATCTTTTCGAATGAATGAAACACATTTCCATTAATCGGTTTAGTGTTTGGCACTAAATAGTTAGTCGTCATTTATTATTAAATAAAAAATCAAAATTAAAAGATGAAAATGAATTTTTAATTTTAATGAAATAATCAACTATGGCTGCAGGATTCTTTAAGAAACTGTGGGATAAAGTAAAAAGAGGAGCGCATAAAGTTTGGGAAACATGAAGAAAGGAGCAAATTGGATATTTAAGAATAAAGAAGCAATTAGTGACGTTGCTGAACAAATAGCACCTAATGTTCCGGTAAGGGAAGTATTAAATAAAGGAGATAAGTTTATCGACTACAACCGATACTAAGATAAAATAATATTTATTTATTTTTCCACTATCTACCCCTATTTTATTAAGTATTCCTTCAGCAATTCCACCAACTGCGTTACCTGCTTGTGCTCCCATCGCTGGATTACCTGCTTTAGCACCTAATACTCCTCCTATGATAGTTCCTGCCGTTTTCGCTACTGGTGCCAAAAAGTTTGCAACGGGTTTAATAATCTTTTGATGAACCCAACTTGCAGCTTTCTTAATTCCTTCCCATAATTTTTTAAAGAATCCTGCCGCCATCTCTGATTTAATATTAATTAAAAAATATATTTCATCACTTATATCTAATTTTTTATTTAATGATAAATGAAACCGATTTTAAAAATAAATGAAACAGAGGAGGAAGAAATAAATGAAAGTGAAAATGTTCAACAAAAAATAAACGTTGTTAAACCAATTACTGAAATAAAAATTTTTTCATCTGTTGAAGAATTTAATGATATTATGCTAATAATAAAAAATTATTTGAAGAATTGACAACATGTAAATTGAATAAAATGTTTAAAGTTGAGGACAGAGTCCAAGACCCGGAGGGTCATGGATTCAAAATTTCAAAAATAAAAGGTGTTGTTAGTTTAAAATCTATTCCTCAATCAAGAATCACCTCATTAATGAAAATAGATGATTTAACAAAAAGAATAGAAAGATTGAAGAAAGAATGAATCAAATAATTGATTTCATAAATTCAAATAATCATTAGTTTCTTAAAGTTCAATGTTGAACTCATCAAATTCATCTTCATCATCATTACCTTTAGTGAGTTTATTTACTCTTTCAACTTTATCTTTTGATAGTCTTTCGTTTAATTTTTTCTGAAGTTTTTCGTTACCAAGTTCTAAAATTTTACATGGATGATATTTAAATCCGTTAAATTCTTTTTCCTCAGTTTTAATCATTAATCTACAAAGAACTTTAGTGAAAAGGTTTTGTTGTTTAAACCACTTATCCTTAATATTTGTTATAAATTCAATATCCGGAATTAATTCCCAAATTTTTGAATTTTCGATTAATTTACCATCAAATGCAAAAGCAATAGGTTTAATATTAAACTTACCTTTATAAAATAAACTTTCTATGCAATCATCAAAATAAACGTCTACTTGTTTAACATGGGTGAGAATTGGTGAAAGTTTATTCATTAATTGATTCACAGTCACGAATTTTGATTCACTCATTTTCATACGAATTAAAAAAATAAATTATTCAAAAAATGTAAGACATGAATTTTTAAAGTTTATTTTTTTATTTTTTTTATTTTTTTTTATTTCATTATGTATGGGTTTAGTGAAAATTTCTTACGATTCTGAAAATTTTTAAATCTTGATTTATTCAAAAACGTAAGAATAAAAACCGTAAAAATCATACATTTTTTACTTCATATGTAAAAAAAAATGATACAAAATCGCTCAAAAATGTATGAATTCTTACGTTTACAAAAAAAGTCACAAAACCCTTCAACATATACTACTTGGGTTCTAAAAAAATTTTATATCGCTAATAAACATATTTATATATAAAAACTAAAAAATAAATAAAATATAAAAGTTATTTGTTTCTCAGTCCAAAATAGAAGAAATAAAAATAATTCTTCCATCTTGTATGACTGCAGTAACAATTCCTTCTTCTTCGTGGTAGATCACAGACATCACCTGAGCTTCAATTCCAAAGATTCTTCTTCCGATATCGCAATAAAAGGCTTCGAAATGGAAAATGTCTCCTTGGTCTGTCGCCATGACGATGTAATCGAATCCCTTCGCGTTTTTGTAAGTATACCAGCAAGAAACTTTCGAATTAAGTTCGCATTCGTTTATTTTGTCTCCGTTGACAGAATAAATCTCGATGAAGTGCTGTAAGTATCCCTTGGATAAATCTGTTGAGTAGACAACGATGAATCCCCAGCCGCGAGTGATTAAAATCTTAATTGCCCTTCTTCCATTCAAATCAGCAATTCTGACGACGTTTCCTGTGTTCAGGGAGCCAATTGTCAGTCTGCAGTCCTTTGTTCCGAAGCAGAACATCTTAAATGGAATAGAAATCGCAACTGACTTCACTTTTGAGGAATACGAAGGAACGGTGAACAGCGGAGATGTTCCTTGCAATGTATCGTAAACGGTGACCACATTATCGCTGTTTGACGTAATAATGTGGTTTTTATCGGAATAAAGCGATGTAATTGAAGATCTTTGTCTCGTAAAGAGCGTAACTGTTGGGAAGGCCTTGTATATCTCGCATTTGTTCTCTTCCGCGAAGTAAATCGTCGAATCATCTGTTTCTGTGAACAAAATTGATTCTGATGCTCTGAAACCTTTCACAACCTTCGTCTTGGCCGTGGCAACACATGAGATGTGTACATCAGACACTATAAACCCTTTATCGCTGGAATCCTTTCTTAACCGAGTTGTCGACTTTTTCAGAGAAGTTGGCGGTTTTGACATGACATGTTGAGAACTCATAGATTTTGATCTCAAAACTGGGGAATTGACACTTTTACTAATGGCTGAAACAGTCATTTTATTTAGGGAAGAGGCGTCGAATAGGGCAGTCATAGAGACACAATCCTCGTCAATTGTCGTAACCTTGCATTTCGTGGGCGAATTGGTCAATGAAATTGTTGCAATCAACAGATTTGTCATCTGCATATTGACTGAAACGTTTTTGGAGAGCGTAGGGATCTTCTTTGGTAAGATTGCACGCTCAGGATGCTTGGTTGCGAACAATTGAGGCGGTATCTGGCCGACATGGGACAGAATTGCCTCATTTTCAGCTCTTTTCGCTGGATTTTCTGTTCCTGGCTGGTTCCAGATATCGGAATACATCTCTCTGATGTACACATTATCATATTCATACGACTTCTGCTTGTATCCCCATACCAAATCGATCCAATTTGATAATTTCGAGGAAACAAAGTCAGATTCAAGCGCTTTTCTGTTCTTATACACGAAATCAAAGTGGTTCTTCGCCCATTTCGGCATCTCCACATCGCTATTTTCTAATCCAAGGTTGAAATTGTCCGAATTTACCAAAAACTCAGGACAACAGAAAAATTCTGGTATGAGTTCGCGGAAATCATTCGCGTTACATGTTGCAAACTCCCACAAACTTGGAATTGAGTGGAATAATCTCGATGGAATGTCAAATCTGCCTGATTGCATTCGAATATGGAGAGTTGTGAATGGCTCGAGCCTTAATAGCATCAAAAAGATGCTGAGAGGGCAGTTGTACGTTGAGGAATAAAGGAATGGCTCCTGAATTCCTGCAGCTTTGAGAGCATCGACTCTAGATCTAAGTAATGAGAGTCTTTCTTGGTTGAGAGCTCCTATGGGCTTCGTAAGGTCTCTGTATGTCTTTGGATCGCTGAGATCTAAGAATAATGACTCATAATCCCTTATAACCCAAGGAATTATCGGGTAAGCGGACGTGTCGTTGAACGACCTGCCCGATGACCTGTTCAGTTCCATCAGGTACTCGAAGTTTGAGATCTGGCCACAGCACCATTTTGGAGTAAAATCTGTGGTGGCAAAAAACGGTTTGAATGGCACTTTTTGTTTGAAAATTGCCTTTGGAGTTTCTACCAAATCGAAGTTCTGGAGAATTGTGAGTGAATTTACTCCGGGGAAGTTGATTAAATATGTCAAACCGTTTTCTAAGAAAATTTCAATGGCCGTAGGATGGTGTAATCGAGTTCTGAAGTAAATCCTCTCTATTGAAGCTGATTTGATGACGACAACCTTGTCATTTTCGAAATTGATGAAGATCTGGTCTGTGAACAGAGCGAATTTCGCTTTAAATACCTTTTTCAACTTAATTATCTCGCAAGGAAGCTCTAAAAGACATCTTTCCTTAATATACAACATGCTGTATTCCTTCTTACTGCTGCTTTCGTCTGTTTCGCTCTCATCCAAATCCAAATCTCCGATTTCGAACAGAGGAGCATGTTTATCTTTCTCGTACGTCTCCTTCAGCTTCCTCTTCTCCTCTTCCAGGGCTTCTTCAGCCGACCACCAGCTTCCTTTGTCCCTCAAAAGAGAAGCCAAAGTGTGGTCGTCGAAATTGTTGTTTACCTTGATGTTCGTAGGAACACCATACGCTGTGAGAACGTTGTCTCTCTTGTAATGGGTGACTTTTCGGAGAGAATCTGGCAAACTGCACTGCCAAGGCGAATCTTCGAGAGTTAGGACATGCCATGACTTCTGCCAGAGCTTTCTGTTCGAGATCTTGTTGGAATGAATCAAATCTTCGTCGTCGTTTACTCTATTATTCGCCATACCAACTAATTCGTCCGAAATCGATGCGAAAATCGCAAGAGCTGTCTTGGAATTGTTCGTTTGCTCTCTCATTATCGCTTTCAAACTGATTAAAGGTCCTGCATCTAAAGCTCTGTCTCTGAATTTGTTGTCTAGGCTTTGTATGTACTCGAAACACGCTTTTTCTTTGGCTGCACGAGTATTCTCGTCCACATTCTTGAAAACTTTGTCTTTTGAAAGGATTTTGTCTAAATATAGCAAAGGATCTGGTAATTGTTGCTTCATTTCTGGAGAAATCTGGTCAAGAACTGATTCGGATACATCAGATCCGCTTTTTGTCAAGAAAGCAGTGATAATCAGAGCAATTTCGAGATATTCTGGGCTTGGAGCGGACAAAAACAGGGTAATGAACTGCAGAGCTAAATCTACATCAGCCCAACTGTCTTCTCCGTCGAATCTCAGTCCGAAAACGTAAGAATACTCTCTATCTCCTGCTAATGCGAGTTTATTTCCTATATCGTACGGCATAATCGACAGTAATTCGGCTCTTTCCTCATTTAACTTGAAATCTTCTGGAATGTCATCATCAAATTCATTCAAACCGTCAATGTTTACAACGGCTAGTGAAAAAGTGACAGATGGTTTGAATTTTTGGAAAATTGAATATCTTCTTGTAGTCATTTTCTGGAGGATTTTGAGTTTTGACATGGCTCTTAATGCGAGCTGTGGGCTGTAATTCTCGAGATCTTCCACGAATTGGACTATGGATTTCCTTCTGATCGAATGTCTTGCTTTTCTCTTCATAATTTTCTGCGGACTTGACTTTGGAGCTTTCGGAGGAGTTGCGGGGACTTTCTCTTCAAGGTATCTCCTTGATCTCTTCGGTTTAATCAGGACATATGGAGAATTCGAGTAAAGTTGGGCCAAAGCCAAGTTATTGTAGTTCTCAATGCTATGGAAGAACATGAAGTGCGTCATCAGCTTCGTATACTCGCCAAATGTAATTTTCTCCGGATTACTATGAACGATGATTCCTACGTTAAATATGACATCGTGGATCAAATCCTCTGTGTCTTGTGAGCTTCCATCGAACGTTCGGCCAATTACATCGATCATTGAAATAAAATCGGATAAATCTGGCAAATAAAGATCGATTAAATACGTAATGAGCTTGTGTACGATCTTTCCTTCCAATATGTGAAGGCTGTGGATCAAGAAAACTGACCAATTCTTTGATTGAGTGTATTCTTTCTTCGGAGGAAGGTTTTTAATGACGTATTCGATGCTTTCTTGGCCTAGATTGGCTGCCATCCACGTGCATGTCGTGAAAAGCTCTGGTGTTGCTTTGCACATCGCTACAAAAATTTCGAAATTCGATTTCGTAATGAAATTGGCCGAAAGCTGGTGTAATATGATGTCCAGATTATTCGAAAGGCTCAAATTTGTGACAATTCCGGCCTTATGGGCATCAATTAAGGTAGATATGAGAATAACCGCGATATTTTCGGAATTTGTATTGAAAAGGTACTGGACCAAGAGTATAAGAGAAGAATTATCAACTTTGTTGAGGATTCCATCGTTGATTAATTCTCTTATGAAAACTAAAAAGTCCGTAATTTGGTTTGGATACGTCGTAGTGAGAACATGGCTCATTAACAATGAGAAATCGGCATCTGTGAACTTCATGGCCGCTGCGTGATGGGCCAAAGACAAAACATTTTTCCTGCATTCTTCAACATTGATTTTCTGGCCACGGCAATGGTCTGTATGGTAAGATCTGTGCTCAGCCTTCTCATCTTCGTACCAATAATAGAGTTTAAGAATGGATAATAACTTTGAAAAACTCAAAAACTGAATTGTTGGGGAATTGGGAGTACAAAGACTTCGACACCAATGTCTGGTTATTCTCGTGTGGTCAAGAGCTTCAGTTTTCATCCAAATTTCATTATTTAATAATATCTCATTAAATAATGATTCTTTTGCATGAAACACGTTGAGATTATTGAACAACGTGTAGAACCTCATATATAAATTATATGAAATATGGTTTTGGTTCGAAGATATAATTAAATGAGAAATAATTTTGAAACCTTCGTTATCTGCGAAGATTTTCTGGGCGAAGTTACTCATCATCAACGCGTCTTGAAGCAATTCGACCGTACTTTCCGCATAAAAATCGATCTTGTTCCCTTCAAAATCGTTCAAATCCCATTGTGCGAACAAAGGAAGCAAAACTTCGACACCGCAGTGGTTGACCAACACTTCTGCGAAGTTGAATGTTCGGTTGTATTGATAGGAAATGTTGTCAACAACGATATCGTTGTTAATTTGGTTAATTAAGGTAACTTCGTCATCTTTTTCTATTGGAGATAGATAGAATAATGCTGTAGATTTGCTGGATGGTACAATCGAGCACTTCCTATCGTACAATTGGAGAATTTGTTCTCTTGATAAACAGGAAGGATAAAAGGAAACTGGGCCAAGGTAGCTGCATTGTGATGGCTGGGCACTATCGAGTGTAAGTCCACCTATCTTGAGGCCTTTAGCTTCAGTTTGTTCGAAAATTATTTTGGGAAATAGGTAAAAAGTTGAATCTTCGCCATTAACTGAGTAGCTACATGTATTCTTATCATCTTCTTGATGCATAGTGAAGCCGATTGTTACTAAATTCCACTTTTTCGGTGGAATAGAAATTTCAGTTTTTGCTGTGTAGTCTTGTCCTCCTTTTTGCATGTAGATATATATTTGATCCTCTGCAATGAACACTCCAAGCTTACCATCTTTCTCATCTACGGCCAGGAAAACTTGTCCGAAATATTTGTTCTCAATTTCTTCAATATAGATCCAGAAGGCCAATGTAAAGTTCTTGTTAAAATAGGAAGTCTTGAATCCTCTCATTGTGAACGTAAATTTGTCAATTAAAGGTAAATACAGATTTGGTCTGTATTTTGAAGCGGACATCATCTGCATCATTGATTGTACAATGGAATTGTGATAGAAAGGAAGCGATTTCCCATCATTCGGACAAATTAATCTGATAAAATACCTTACAAGGCTTGCAGAGCTAATTTGGCTCAATATAACCGTCAAAATATTGAGAATTAAGTCAATTCTGCTGGTGTTTTCTGGAGTTTTTTCCTTATTTCTCCAAGAATAAATTAAATCTATTAAATAAAAGTCCAATTCTCCATTGTGAGCCATTATAGCGTTACCCACTGAATCACTGATGAGTTCATGAACGAATTTGAGGACTGTATCGATCTGAGAAGAGTTTTCATGTATAGATATTAATAATCTTAGAGCTTTTCCTTCTTTTATATCGAAATGGTTGGTCAGAAATGTCATGTGCTTCCTGGAAATGATCTGAAGAACCTTTACAAATATGTTTGTCGTTGGTTCATTCCTGTAAATTATAGAAATCGCGTTTTGCATTGCGATTAACTCGGGATTGGCGAACTTATGTTGCACGGAGTTAGCATAGAATGAAAGGACATTCTGAATGAACAGCTTGGAATCAGGAAAATCCTTAATATTTACGATACCTAATTTGATATCTTCAAAAAGTGGGTCAAAAAGTGAAGATATGTTAGGATAAAGTGTGAGAATTGTGGAGATAAGCTCGAATGTGACACATCCGAGTTGAACAACTTCAGGATCGTTGCAGTTTTCCACACAAAAAATTGCAAGTTGGTAAATTCTCTCAAGTAACTCTATGTTTTGTGATGATTTCTTGGTACTGATGTATCTGTTGATATGGGCAATGCAGAAACTTTGCATGGATTGGTCACCCAACATACCAATAAATCCAGAAATGAAAATATGGTTCGTAAAGATCTCTTCTATGAGGTTATCATCGAGTAAGTAGTTGTTAAAGAATATAATGAGACCAATCTTGGCTTTATTAATTGCATCTATCTCTCTATCTGATAAATTTTCAAAAGATTGATAAAAAATCATCGCTTGCATAACTGATTGTAATAATGGTTCGATGCCGTCTGATTTGAGATCAATTTTTGGCTGCAACGATATCATTCTACGCATGATTTCTGCAAAAATTAATGGATGTTGGAAATTTGTTTGAATTATTGCAACAAAATCCTGTACACCACGTAGAAGCATCATATTAAAGCAATATACTCTAATTGTATTGATAATTTGGTAAAAATTATCATCGAAATTTTCGTAATTTGTAACCCAATAAGAGAATATATATGGAGAAGTTATGAATGATGTCGGTGGTGATATGCTGAACTTCTTTGAGATAGAAGTAAAGATAACTATAAAAGCTGTGAAAATATCCATAGATCTTGGGTTTTTGACGATTTCAGAGTATTGCTTGTCACAAGCTTTCATAAACATAGATGCTAATTGCTTGTCATTCTGTAAAACTTCAATAATTCCTTCTACTCTTGAAAGTGCTTGAGGATGGATGAGTTTTTCGCGAGGAAGAAGAGGTGGAAACTTTTCTTGCTTATAAAAGTCAATCGATGCAGGTAGTGTGGCTTTCTTAATTATCTTTTCCGCTGGATCATATAATTGACCAAGAGTTAAAACAATAGAAATCGTTTCCGATGGAACATTGATGAACTTTGGGGTCTGAAGGATCGTGTTGATAATAGACTTTGGTAATTCATCAATGTTCGGTAGCATTTATAAAAAAAAACAAGAAAAAAAATTTTTTTAGAAGATTGAAATAATCTGAATTTCAAAACAAAGTGAAAACTACCTAAAATAAGTGTCCATTATGTGACGCATATATTTTATTGAAATATCTATTGTTTTCTAATTTTGGAGATAAAATTCGAAATTATTTTATTTCAGAGTTTCATTTTGTGTGATTTAAAATTTAATTTATGTGAGAAATATATGCCAGGAATCGGAATCGAAACACAAACCGATAGTGGACAATTTTGAAATTTCAAAGGGTTAAATTGCTTATGAGACCAGAATCATCATGATGAGCTGTCGTACACAATTTCATTTTATAATCAATAGCCTTGGAATGGTCTACTCTTGAGTTATGTTTGATATACCTTGACTATAATGTCCCGAATTTGAATTCAGCGTTGTAGATAGATCTCATAGTATGGTTTTAAAAAATACTACTAATACAAAATTTGAAAAAAACTATAAACTTTATAATATTTATATAAAAACATACATGATATTAACAAAATTTTCATTAGAAAGTTCTATTAAAGCTTTGGGAGCTTGCAGATATCAAGGATTTTGGGAATAGATATCCTGGAATGTCTTCTAATATCCATGGCATTGGATTTCATGCTTCCAATAAGGGTTTTATTCTTCGTGATAGGCATAAACTTCCTTGCTTTGATCTCGAATTGTTGGAAATAAGGCATCTTGAGTAGTTCATCAGCTGTTGCCCTTGATGATATATTGCAATCGATGCATCTTGAGATAAGCATCCTAAGAAGTGGATCATCAATTATTCCATCACTATATACACCTTCGCAGATAGTTTCAATTAATTTGTAAATTGAACTATTGATAAATGGGAGTGTACCTGTTGCCAAGAAGTATATTGTAAGGCCTAACGCCCAGATATCAGCTTTCATTGGATTATACAACTGTCCTTTTAAGATCTCTGGAGCCATGAAAAGTGGAGTTCCTTTGCATTCAGCGGATCTTGGGCTCAATGAGCAGATATCTGAAAGTCCAAAGTCTGATATCTTTACTCTACCGTGCTTGTCAAGAAGAAAATTGGATGGTTTGATGTCACAATGAGCAATGCCTCGATCATGGCAAGCTTTTACAGCGCTAACAATATCGAATATGTAGCGGTGTAAGTCCTTCCTGGAAATGTACTTACTAGATCTGATAACTGCCTGAAGGTCTGTCTTACAAAATTCCATTAAAATGTAGATATAAGAGCCAAACTCAAAATAGTCGTATATTCTGATAACTCTTATATCATCAAGGTGCTTAATGCACTCGATCTCCTCAATCTTGAACTTGTCCTTGAGAATTCTCTTAAGAGCGAATCTTTCGTTGTACTTATTAGAGAAGACATCAAAGATAGTTCCATAGTTACCATGGCTAATTTGCTCCTTTACTTCGATTTGTTGTGTCAGCAGGAACTCAATCTCTTTTGGTAGCATGACGTTCTATAAAAATGATAATTTTCAAAAGGTTCTCAAAAGAACATTAAGATCATTTTGCTGTATTCCTTAAAGGGAATAATATTTTCTGGATTTTTGTATTTGCATTGCAAATAATCCATTCAATTTTTAAGACCAATTTTTGAATAAAGCTCGAGAGCAACTCAAGAAATGAACTGTATGAGCTTTTAAATGCACTTTTTGTTCATTAACTGTTTATCCTGCTATTTAAGATTTTTCAATTTTTGTATACTTCGAATAGTGAATTGAATGTTAAAAAAATGAGCAAAGACTAACTTTTTATTATGAAATATAGTTTAACTGTATATGTTAAGCATATTTAGATTTTTGTTAGTGATATTTTGGCTCTCAATTTGGCCAGCTTTTGAAAGGAATTGATATCACTATTTTTTATGAAATAGTAAAATATATTATGCAACATCATTAAGTTGATATATTTATGTTGATTATTCAAGGCGCCGTTACAAAACAGTTTCATTCAAAACTACCTCTGTCCAAGAACCCCTTTCAAAAATATATAGATATTTGCATTACCTTAATGCTTAAATAATTCAGATATATTTAATAAATTAAAATTGAAAAGGTTCTCTCAATGTCGTTTGATTTCAAAAACATTGCTATATTTCATTCAAAATTATAAACTAGCTATTAGAAAAATAGGATACAGTTTAAGAAGATGTATCTTTTAAATGCATATTTTGAATAAATTTTAATTGTGCAACTCAATTTTGAGCAGCAATGAAAATTTTCGAATTTTCAACATTTATTCCTGAATGAGTGCATCGTGAATATGCACGAAAAATTTTTGTGCGTTTCAGAAAAATCAGCATACCGATATTCATTGAAAGTAAACATAAATTAAATAGAGAACTTCAAGTATATATTGCTACGAAGGATGTCCTGAAGTATTTTGAGAAACCTGTTAAAAATTATTTTTCCCAAAATAGTTATTTTGGCTCAACATTTGGGTTTGTAGCCACAGCACTCTATCTTCGCTAATGACTGAATAATCAATGAATCACCATATCACCGCCGTAAAATTGAAATTAATTACTGACCAAAAAAAGGAATAAATATTATATCCTGTAATGATGTAATATGTCAATGCTGATATCCAAACCTGTAAGCAAATTAATACCAAATTTGAATGTCTTTTGCCAATCCAATGCAAATAAATAGTAAAAAATCATATTTTCATAATCTATATCTTTATTAAAACGTATTACATTTTTTCATATGTTGAAAACTTCTTTCCAAATTTTGAATTCGCTCCAGAAAGAGAAAACTACTTTATAATTCAATGTTTGTCATGCCAAGTTGTTTTTTCATGTTCTCATATTGAAAAACACTTATTGGTCAATATATCAAATCGCGAAATTCAATTGGTTTCATTTTAATAATATCATATTGAATTTAGTGTTAATTCGCCTTCAAAATATGTTTGTGTTAAAATTATGGCAATATTTCAAGTAAAATATCAAATGTTGAATCAATTTTTTTCAAATAAAGGTGTTTCTTTGCTTCGTATGAAATTTCATGATCTACTAAGGTAAGGTAGCTGATATCTACATGAAATACTAACTTGGATAAAAATGCAAAGACAATTGAATGAAAATTTAAAACATAAAATAAGATTTTAATAAAATACTGCCTATTTGATAATGGTAAAATCTTGCCGATATCGATCAAAATCAAAATTTGGATAAATTGTCAGAAAATATAAAATCAAAAAAAAAAGAATGACAGAAGAAAATCCCAAGATAGACGTTCTTTCCATTCATGAAACCGTCTCGGAATTCATCGGTGTAAGGCAGATTCTTTGCAAGTTCAAAACTGCTCTTTGCCCAGATCGCTGTGGCCATTGTGCTGATGTTTACACATTCAAGGTGTTAGAATATACAAAATACGAGAAACCAGGTGAGTATGGAGATGATCAGCAGAAGGAGCTCCATATCAATACAAAAGAGCATGTCTTTGGACAAGATCCAAGCATTTTGGAGAAATGCAAGCACCTCGAAGAAGGAAAGAAGTATAGAGTTTGCTACAAGCATCTCTATGTTGATGATGGCTCAAATGCTCGCCCTGAAAGGCCATTTACCGAAATATCACCAATAAATTAAAATTTTTCCTTGTATTTTGAACAGTAATGAATAAATAACATCTTAATTTACGAAACATAGAACTTTTCGAAAATTCATATGATCAACTACTTCAAAATACCTCATTTTTTCAATAGCTATTTATGGGCTTTGATCCTCCGCATAATTCTCTACTGCAATTGATCTTTTGCATATAATTAATAATAATATGTGATTATAACTATCGTTTAATATAATTATTAAATTAAATTTTTTTCATAAAACCAAATAAGATGTTTTTTATAATCCAATGATAGAGCAAGAAGAATTGTAAGCATTATAGCAATATCTTTCTCTAAATTACATATATAAATCAAATGATTTTCATACAAAGAACGATGATTGAGAATGTCTGCTATATTTCATAAGTTATGGTCAAATTTTGAAAAATATAGTGATTGTTGCAGCCAATCCAGAGTTATGGTGAGACTTATTTCCTCATTGAAAAAAAAATGTATTCACACATGTCAATTGGAATTCTATCTTGGCATGTATTTCATGAACATTTACCAGTTTCAGAAAGTCATAAATAATCACTATGTTATATGATAGATTGCGGTCCTAAGGAACATAGTGCTTTGATCCATTTGGTCAAAATAACACCTTTTCAAAAAATGTTTGAAAAAAAAAATTCAAAACTTTTTTATTTTGAAGGCTGTTCTTTAAAACTGAACTTTGTTTGAGCATGAACACTAAGTTATCAATATTTTTATCATTTTTGGGCATTGTAGCATGTATTGTATAAGATATGACATTGAACAGATTGTTTATTTGCGATTGAACTGCTTTAAAATAAGTTAAGGAGTAATTTTGAAATATAGAACGTAAAATCAATTTTGCATGAAATTATTGTGATTAACAGACTTCTAATGGTTGAATTGGAGAATAGGAATTCAAACGAACATTTTTTATTTCTTTCGAGAGTTATCAGGAACGAGGAATGAATATGCAATGAAGTAAAAGTCTTTAAAGACATGAAAGATTTTTAAATCTAAGACATACAAATGGTGATAGAGATATAAAAAATTTTTTTGGTATTGTTAGCTAACACGTCATGTCTTCCCGGATGATTCAAGACTACATCCAGCTATTCTCAAACTTTCATTGCGCTCCACTTTCAGATGATGAAAATACTATTTGTTCAATATAATGCATGATTGTGTGAAAAGTTGTTTAAATTCTGGAGAAGAGATAATGAATGAAACGATAGAAAAGGAACGAAGTGATTAAAAGAAATGCTACAAACCCGACGTATGCTACATCATGATTGGCGATTTGATTTCATTGTATGTTTTGAGCATCGAAGAATTAGAAACATGTCCGTTGATTCTATCAAATTCTGAAAATTTTTGAATATGCAACGGAAGAAAAATTGAACAAATTTGCAGAATCATAAATGATGCAAGATACATATGGAAAATATTTGGTTTTGTATAAAATTTTATTTTCATTAATAAAACAACGGTAATTTATTAATGAGGCAAATCATTTTCAGATTCTTTTGTAGAATGATGAACCATAGCATAAATGGTGTTCATAAAATATAAGATGAAAGAACAATGGTATGATATATTAATGTCCAAATGTAGGAGCGGATTTAGGAAAAATTACGATATCAGAACAACGGTAGTGAAATTTATACGCCAATAAACATCCTAAAGTGTAAGCTAATGAATTTCAATATGAAAAAGAAAAATCAATAGGAAAAATTTCGAGAAATTTTTTGATTGTAAATAAAAAGTAGCAAATTATAAATGAAACGTTTCCATTATATAGTTGAAATTTTAAAAACTTATTTATGCATGTCTCCATTATCGAACAGAATAATTTTTACAAAAAAACTTCGATATCAAAGTATTTTTCGCATCTTATAATTATTCATTGATATGTCAATATTGATATTTATGTATCATTCTTTAAAAATGGAGTTCAAAATTTGTGTCTAAAAGTGACAATCCAATGGAAAATCCCTCTGAATTTTGGTTCTTTTTTCATGGATAATTTTTTTTTCTCGACAAAAGAAATCTTGCCAGTAATACCTAATTAATGATACTAGCATATGTTTAAAAATTAAATTCAGTTATCAACCGCAAATTCTGAGGACAAATTGTGAGAGTATTGAAAATATAGAAAACAATAAAAGATGCCAGTGGTAAAAGGTGATACATTTCGGGCAAGATAATTTCGAAACTATAGATTTTTTTCAATGAGATAACTTCTAGAAAAGTGAGATGGAGATAGGAGAAAACCAGGTGAGATGATGAGTTTGAAATATTGCTGAGTATGAATAGATGCGAAATTAAGTAACTACAGAAATCAAATCAATAGGATTTGAAAAGAATTGTTTGAAGATCCTAGTAATTTTTAAAAATATTTAGTGGAATATGCAGTACAACATATGATTAATAATATTCATACGGGAAAAATTATCCAAAATATTGACCAAACATATTGATGTTTTTTGTAAATTGCCCGATTTTAAAAAAATGCATATTGCAATATAACAAAGGTACATTCACTAGGCGATAACAGTAAAATGGGATGAAAATAGGATAAATAGCATCCCTATATAGTGCCTAACAATATTTATACGGGCCAAAAAAAATTTGGCTCGAGATTTGGCGAGTTATAAAACTTATAAAATTGAGAGGGATTTTTATTTTTGAATTTTTTTTGGAAAGTTAAAATTGCGATTAAAAATCGATTTCCAGGAGAACTAAGCATCTCATCATATATTTAAATCGATAAAAATATTAAATAATAGTTGAATAGTATAACAACGTGAAATTATGGCTGAATCTACAGAAAAAATGAACATATTTGACATTTTTGAAAATTCATACGTTAGATGGTGACAGACTCATAAACTATACTTTAGCTAAGATTGATATATGGTTTCAACAACACATGGTTAAAATCGTAAAAATATTTTAGATTTCAAAAAGATATATATGGTAATATAATGGAACAAAGTCAACAAATAGCATGTTAAATATGTTATAATTAACTTTTTATTAGATCCAATAGTAGATATCGAATGGTTTCCAGCTTTATGGTTAAATATTTTCTTTTTGAGCTTCTCTTTAACTGTTGTATTAAGGTTGTAAATTTTTGATGCTAGAAACTATGGAATCTTCTTTGCTGCTGCATTTTTCTTGAGAGTTCTTGCAATTTCGAATACATCTGCGCATTGTATGAAATGGGGGCTTTAAAATATCTTGAATCATAATAGGACTGCTTCTCCAAAGGAATGCTTATTTGTAAATCAGAGAGTTTCAAAATTGAGAGCAAGATTATCATCATAACTTTCGATTTTGCTGCGAAAAAGGAAGACAAGTAATTAACAAATCATTTACTGTTGTTCATCAAAAGAAGAAAACTTTGATAACAACTAATGATGATAAAATCAAGCTATCTTTTAATATTTTAAATTGATAAGACATTCAAAATATTTGAATGGTTTAAAATATTTTCTTTTAATTTCTATAAGATATTATCATGATTATATAATAAAATTTAAATTTTTATTCAAAAAGGCAATATTTCAAACTTTTAATTTCAAAAATCTTAATTCTGCAATAAGTGTATTTAATTGTAGCAAATTTAATGATCCTTCGTCATGCTTAGCAATTTGGAACTCATAAATTAATGATTTCTTCAAGTAAAATTCTGCATTATTTCAAAAGTCAATAATTCTCTAGTAACTTTTCTTCAAACCCTAACCATTATATTATATGTATAATGGAGAATAATTGCAAAGAAAGATAGCCGAATTTACTGGGTAGTTCTTGTGATGCGAAATAATTGCAAATTAACACCTAGTTTTAACAGCATCAATCTCTTTTTGCTCTCATTTAAATGCATTCGCACACTTTAATTTTGAAATATAAGAGTTTTGGAAATTATCAAATTTATCTGCTCAAATACTATAGATCTTCATAAGTGTTAATAGAATCATTAGCCTTACATATAGTGTTTAATATAATGATGCACATTATACTGGGATTCATTCCTTATTCATCTAGTTATTATAAGATTTACAACCCCATGAAAATTTAAAATTTTGTCAAAAATAGTGAATGTACCTTTAATATAACAAATACTAGTGATATTAGTGATCTGAATTTGATAAGCTCCAAAACGATGAGTTATATTCAATTCCCTGAAAACGATTCAGAAATGTCTGGCCAGTGATTCTTTCTAAAGATTTTTAGATATATTCTTATTTATTGGAAATAAATATGAAATATTGAAATTTATAGGTTCCGCTAAACGACAAATCAAAATCATGATATTTAGATATTGGATGATATTTTAAATACTCATTAAGATTTAGATGGATGACTCTTTTGGAGTTTGGAGAATCTCTCTGAATTGGATTGTTTTTGAATTGTCTCAATTTGAGATGTGTGGTTCGAATAAATTGAATGTGAATAAAAAATAGCGGCTCTCAATTTCTGAAAACCGATGAAAACCACTTTTACTCTCGCAAAATTCTGAGGGTAGAAATCAAGAGAATCATTTTTCAAACTGATGAGTTACTTATGCTACTACCCCCAAGTTCAAATCAACCAACTTCCTGTCCCAATAACATTCCCTAAGGGTGTTGATTCCTTTAGAGCCTCCATCATCATGTTCGTCGAGACATTAGAAATGGAACCAAAGCAAAACTACACAATATCCCAGCTCTGCACACGCTTTGCATTCCAGAGAAGAAGATTTTATGACGTAGTCAACGTTTTGGAAGCCGCCGGATGCTGCCAGAAAACGAACTTTGACTGTTTCACATGGTTAGGCTTAGCCAATGTTAAGCCCCACTTGGCCCAGTTAATCAGAGACCACGAATTAACCACTTCCAAGAATGACATGGAAGAATTATTCCCAACGAGCGAATCCATTACTATTGCCAATCTTGCTTATCAGTTCTTGTTAGCCTTCCTTGCCCTTGACAAGAAGCTCCTTGATATTAAGCAGATAGCCCTCTTCCTCTCCAGAAACAATTCCCGTTTCAAAACAACATTATGCAAGCTCTATCAGATCTCTCATATATTAGAAGTTGTTGGCATCATTGAGAAGACCATCACACCAGGCGAAGTCTTGCTCGCTGAGAGATTCTTCCCCGACAAGCCAAGTCAGAATCATGTCTTCATGGATGTCGGAATGCTCTTAAACGGAACTAAGAAGCAAACTGCTTCCGAAGTTTATGCCGATAGATGGAATGCTTTCACAAAAGTTCATGAATTGCCACAGCCAATGGTCTTACCAATCCTGTCCCCGATTACTTCCCCAATTAGTGTTTAAACTGTTTGTATATATTATATAATTATTCCCCTTTTTTGGCATAGTATGTAATTAATTCAGTTTGATAATACAATTCAGTTATATTTTCAGAATTATTTGAACAAAAATTAGTTTAGTTTTGAAGTACTGGTGCTACCGGATTATATTTCATTGCAAAATCAAACTGTAAAAATAACTTCTCAATTTTAACCTAATTGAAAAATATGATACACTGTATGAGAAAATACGAAATAATTTTTTACATAAAAAAAATTCAAGCCAAATTGCCGATATTGTCTTCTCAAATTTTTGTATAGTTTACAGGAACCCATAACTTCACATTTTTTGAATTTGTATCATAAATGTAATCCTTATAATATGTCTTACCAAAATTTATCCGTAATTTCTCATCTTCTCAAAAACTCACTTTAAATAAGAGTAGGGGTAATTTTAGCTAAAAGTGACACCCCTGTAAAAAGTGACACACTCATGAAGGGTGTGATTACCAATCGGTAATTTCGACAGTTTAGAATTTAAAATTTTTTATGGAACTGTTGCGAGTTTCATAAAGAATTTAAGGAATATAAGCAAAGATTTGAATCAAAATCTTAGACCTAAGCCGATCGCTTCGCTCGCGGCTTCCGCGAATTACAGATCAGCAAAGATTTGAATCAAAATCTTCGAACTAAGCCGATCGCTTCGCTCGCGGCTTTCTTTATTATTTTAAATTTGCATATTTCCATCAAAAGTTCATAAGGTAAAAAATTTCGTTTATTTTTACTAAGAAAAAAAAAGTTTTTGATAATAAATTTATTTTATTACGAAAAAGTAGCAATAATCGTAAAAGGGTATTGATAGGCTTGCTAAAGTAACTAATTTTAGCTGTCAAATACTTTTGTATTTTGAAGTAAATTAGTATAAATTTGTTTTTACTTTTATTTCGAAAAAGTAACAATAATCGTAAAAGGGTATTGATAGGCTTGCTAAAGTAACTAATTTTAGCTGTCAAATACTTTTGTATTTTGAAGTAAATTAGTATAAATTTGATATTATTTTAACTCCCTTTGAAAACCTCAATTTTCCATACAGAGGGAACGGGAATAGCATCCAATATTCCCTGAGAATGGTTGCGCATTCTCAGTTCCCTCTATATTTCGAACGAAGCTCTCATCGGTCTTTTTTTTTAATACTAAACGTTTTTTTTCCTGTCACTTTTAGCTAAAATTTGGGTTTGCCCTTTAAATAATCGTAATCTGGGCAAAATGATGGATAAATAATAATATACACATCACCACCTGTTGATTACTAATACTAATTTTTCGATAAAATAAATGTTGAAATAGGAAATTTTTAAACAACCGCATAAAGCTATATAAATAAGTGCATTCGAATCTATTATGGCATCATTTTTTCTTTTGTAAATACAATCCATGCTCCGACACCAGCAGCACCTAAAATGAAAGTTGGAAGGACAATCAAGAACGTAATGAAAGCGTCGAAACGGACGATCATATCTTTATCATTCTTCTCGCAATTATAACCATGAAAACCGGGCTTGCAAACGCAAGTATGAAGTAAACAATGTCCATTTTCTGAATTACAATTCTTTGCGCAGTAACCGTGCATCCAATTCGAAATCTTTTGCATAATAAGTGGTTTCATCAAATTCAAATCATCGCCATCAGTAATTGCCGCTGGTCTCATATCGCATGAAATTCCATTATGTGCGATATAGTAGTGCAATTTCTGGATGGAATAGTCTGTAATTCCTACAGTGAGGTTAACAAACGGGTCTAAGTCACAGGAAGTATAAATAGAATTTGTTGTTTTAATATTCGAAGCTCCGTACAAATCTCTCGACATAATGTTTATAGATTTCTTACTTATATCGATATTGAACATATTCATGCAAACTTCTTGGTAATAATCTGTATCTAAATCTGAAGGGAGGAAAAATCCAGTTACATTGAATAAACCGATCTCATTACATTGCATGAATAATTTACTCTTCTGGCTTTGTGTTTTCCAGGTTTTAATCATTGGATCCATTTGGTTTGGAGAATAATTTTTTGTTTTCTTCCAATTTTTGACATAAGTAATAAGAGAATCAACCTTGCTTTCACTTGTGTTCAAGCTACGACAGTATTTACCAAGCATATCTTGGTTTTCTGTCAGTAAATAATAATAAAAATCTTGTAAAACGTATATAGCACTTCCAAAGTTCCTAGATTCATCAACTCCGATATTTGTAATGAAATCATTGTATTCTTTAGAAGAATTTTGGTAATTGGATATGATATCGAAGAGATTTAATGAATTGTTAAAACAAACAGGGTCTCTGCGATTAATTTGTGTACCTAAAAAGAAGTCGAGCTCGAAAGCTGTCTTTTTGAAATTAAGAATCGGTGATGATATCCATGAAAAGTTGACAAGTGAAGAATATTTAAGTTTGAATATGGAACCAATGGTGCCCATCAAGCCAGCACCAACAACAGTAATGGATTGATTGCCTGAGCATGGTTTCCATGATATGCTTCGTGCAATATTAGCGAGATCTTCAACACATTGATCAATAGTTAAAAATTTGTTTATTTTACTATCATATGGATCAAGTGTAGAGTCACCAAAGAATCTCTGTTGAACAACGATTAAAATTGCTTTTGAATAATTTGCGAGCTCGAAAACTGGTAATTTATCGATTTCTTCTGTCTCTACGTTAATTGTATGTCCTAAGTATAGAATTACATTCGAAGTTGTGCTATTTTCTGGCCAAAATTTATCGATAATTGTATAATTCTGATAAAATGTTTCATTTGTAGAACCAAAATGATCTAAAGGCTGTTCAATAGTTACAATAGAACATTCTGGAGGAAGGCAAGTTTTTATGTTCAATGAAACACTGAGAGAAAAAAGAAACAAAAGCATAATTTTGATTTCTGCCAAATATAAAACTCATCCGATTATTAAGGTTAGTAGTGTACTATGTGCAAATAGCAAGATTCAATCAAATACAATTGTAGGATCTCAATAGATTTGATGACCTCATTTTCATCAACTCTAATTGAGCCGTGAAACCTATGGCAATGATACATACTCTTCTTACAGAAGCGTACCCTTTGTGTTCCAATGTTTCCTGTTTCATATTATTTCCCATTGTTTCGTTACAACTCATGAACCCACTAACTTTCTGAAGTCATAGAATAGCATGTGCGAAATAATATCGCAGGCTTGTCCTAAAACTGTAAAAATCTTCAATTATGATATCCGTAATAAATCTTTCGAAACAGAGTGCCTCATTACCTGTGATCTATCAGAATATTACTTCAAATACTTACATGGTGATTTGCAGATTTCGGTCTTTGCGGAAAATTTAATCGAAATAAAATCGATAATCGATTATACATGGCAACGACACACGGATATTTCTAGTAAAACTTTCAAAATTACTATTTTACATATCCTTTTTTGAATTACATAGTCATTTTTCAGGTCTTATTGAGCTATTTTAATAAAAACTCAATTATTTCCAATTAATCTAATGGATTCATCGATTCTGTATCTAAAATATGTGTTATTCTATGATTTGGTTTTCCAAAAAATTCAGAAAATTATGTTTTTATTAGCAATTTCATAGTTTTGATTATCATTTTTTGATTTTTGAATTTTTTTTGGAAATTATCGATAACAATATTGTTCTGCATGATATTTGGAATCATTTTCCAGTGTTAATGAAATTCAGAGTCCATCGACAATTCAATAGGTGTATTGAAATTTTACAATGAATATTTAAGGAAATATTGTTTATAAAGTTATTTTAACAATATTTTTTTGTCGTGTAAGAAAATTTTCCTAAGTTTTCTGAATTTTACAAATCGGATTTCTGAAGATTCTCTGCGTGGATGAGGAAGCTGCATAAAATAGTAGTCCCAAACAAAGCTCCAGTTGTTCTGTATCTTCAAAAATCAGATGTTCAGTTCCACTTACCCAAACTCATCAACAACTCTCCAAAACCAACCTCAGAATCTCAATCACCAAAAACATTGTCAATACATGATTTCCAGGGACCTGTTAAGCCAAGTTACTTCGCATCGACCTACAAAGACTATCTTACTCCTTATGAAAAGTCAGAGATCCATAAATTCCTCCAAATCTATTATGTCAGACAGACAATTCCGGCCGGTAACAATACCCCTAAGAAGGGTGCCAAGTTCTTTCCATTTCAAGCTGATGAACATATAGCCTACAGATACCAACAGCTCCAAATTTTAGGTCAAGGCAGTTTTGGCTCTGTCATCAAGTGTTTAGACCATAAAACTCACCAAACAGTTGCCATCAAGGTGATCAAAGATTCAAAGAAAACCCATAAACAAATGGTCCTTGAACTTGACATTCTAAAACATCTCCAATTGAATGGTGAGAATCATCACATACTCCACTACATTGATGTTTTTCAATTCAGAAGCTTCTTTTGCATTGTCATGGAACTTCTTGGCCAAAATTTACATTCAGTTTTGTCAGATAATGGCCACAAGAGTTTAGCATTACCAATGATCAAAACCATAGCATACCAACTCGGAAACGCCATCCAATACATGCATGAATCAAACATTATCCACTGTGATATCAAACCTGACAATGTTTTGTTTTCCCAGGTCCGAAAAACATCGCTTAGAGTGATCGATTTCGGATGCAGCTGTTGGGTTGGCAAAACAATGTATGAATACATTCAATCTCGATTTTATAGAGCTCCTGAAGTAATTTTGAACCTTAAGTATTCAACAGGTATCGATGTTTGGAGCTATGGATGCGTTCTTTTCGAGATCGCGAATGGAAGACCACTATTTATGCCAGATAATGAAGAAGAACTCTTCCATATGATGATTGAAGCTCTTGGATCACCTCCTGACTACTTAGTTGCAAAGGCTGGAAAGTATTGTGACTTCCTTGGCCCATATAAAAAGATTGAACCTTATCAGAACAAAAAGACAGGAAAGTTGTACTTCCCATTGGCTTTACCATTCGAAAAAAGGATAACCCACATGAGTGAAAGCTATATAGATGTAATTAAAGCTTGTTTAACTTGGGATCACGAAAAACGTCCAAGTATGGCAGAAATCCTTAAAATGCCATACTTCCAAGAGTAATTTATATTTGTTTTTTGAATAAATTTGTTTGTTTTTTGATTTTTATTAAAAATAAAAAATAATTTTTTTTTACCGCTGTCAAACTATGAATTTAATGGTTTCTGACCTTTCCAATAATACTGATTTCTTCATCATTCATATCATCTAAAGCATCGAAAGCCATAGGGTCTCCTTTTTCAGAAACACCGTAGAATTCGAGTCTGTTGAGTATCATGCAATGTTTGCAGCCCTTGTATGGCTCTTCTTGTACAAGACGGACGTATTTGTAAGGCTTTGTCTTCGGGAAGTCGTAGTGGGCGTTCGAGCAATATTCGATTGAGACATCCTTCTCAACACGATGTAAAACATCCCATGTGACGTTGTCGTTGGAGCCACGAAGAGAGAATGTATACAATGAGCAGCAGCAATCGTACATATAAGTGTTATCATCAAGGCAGCATGCTCCGTAATAGCAGCATCCAGCACGGAGGGAATAACCAACTAATGATGTTCTGTATTGTCCAAAATCATATTGGATCCACGGAGGATGATCGCGATCTGGGGCAACGTTGGAGCACCAATCATACTTAGCAATGCTATTATCTGTTGAAACTGTTATGTTCGGATATGTTGGGTTGCATTTAGAATTGTAATATTGGCCAATTGAGCCACTAGCTGAGATTTTGAGATTGGAATAGATTTCTTTATCTTGGAGGACACTATCTTTACGTGGTTCAAATGGCTTTATCTGCAAAAGTAACATTGGAAATAAGAAAACTCCAGTCATTTTGTGTTCGAAAAACTTGACAACTTCAGATTTTAAGATAGAGAATTGGTGTGCTAACTAGTGAATAAGAAAATAGATATTGCACCTGGTGCATGACTCTTTGATGTGATAGTTCTGCTTTGATTTGCATATTTTTCACGTATTGAATTGAATTGATATAGCGTAATCCATTTGATACATGAGCACTAGATTTTATGTAGGGATGTAGACTTAAAAAACTGAGTAACAGGCGTCTATATAGTGAAATTAATCAAATTTATTCTGTCTAAGTTGATTACAAAATAAGATCAGGAGATTTTAATTCCATGACTAGAAAATATGATTTAAACAGTTAGATCGATGTTACTTCAATTATTTAGATAATTTATTAAAATTTTATGAAACTATTTGATTATTCCAAAGTAGTATGGCTTTACTGAGGGAGTCCTTTGATTTTGTTTTCATTTTTTTACAATGCTTCTCGATTCAATTTCTTCATCAATTGAATACCTTCATGTTCCTTATGTTGGTGAAGAAATTGAAATGCCAGCTGTTAAACTCAAGTTTAACAAACATGAAGTAATGACAGAGTTAACAAGAGAAGCTTTAGGTTTATGCGGATTAAAAGAAACGAAAGATCAAAAACAAGCAGTATTAGTTTGGGGGAAACAGTTCGATATTACAGAATATTCATCATTTGGCCCTTGGCAAAAAGTTAACCACTTTGCTGGTGCATATTTAATCGGAAGAAAAGACAATTTTCACAAATACATGATGTCATTCAAAAAGAAAGAACCAGAATTAGGAAAATTTTACCCATCTTCTTATCTTTTACCAGATCAAGCAGAAGATTTAAGCAAAATATGGAAGAAACACAAGCTTTGGATTAAGAAACCATCAGCCTCATCAAGAGGTCGAGGAATTAAAGTCATTTCATCAGAAAATAAGCCTCCGAAAAAATCTGGATTAGTTCAAGTTTATATCGAGAAACCATTCCTTATCACAGGGCGAAAGTTTGATATTAGAATGTATATTTTAATACCATCCGTCAATCCCCTTAAAATCTACGTTCATTCCAATGGAATGGCGAGATTTTGTTCTCAAAAGTACAAAATGGATGATCCTACAGATCTGCACTCCCATTTAACGAATTTCTCTATTAACAAAAACGATTCCAACTTCATTAGATGCTCAGGAGAAGAATCTGTTGAAGATTCGAAGTGGACACTTCAATTTTTCCACAAATATCTCAAAGAAAACGGATATGATGCTGATAAAATCTTTGATTCATTGTACCAAACAGCTACGAAGACGTTTTTGATCGGAATGACCGCAGTTCGAGATAAACACATCAGATATGTTTATCATCGCAATGTTTCTTCTGAATTGTATGGTATTGATATCATATTAGATGAAAACCTTAATCCCCATGTCATGGAAGTGAACATTTCCCCATCAATGAAAGGATCTGATTCCAAATTAGACCATGACTTGAAATTACCTGTTATGCTTGACACTCTAAGGCTTTTTAAGATATATCAGACCTCATCTGACGTAGTTACAGAGTTCGAAAAGGCTGTTCGTCAAAGTGTCAGCAATGAAAGATTAAATTCAGTGATGAAAGGCCAAGATCCATGGGAAAAACCAGTTATCTCTGATATACAGACTGTTAAAGAGTTTCTGTATGAACAGGCCAATGCAGGAGGATACAGATTGATGTATCCAACGAAAGAAACAGTTGAAGAATACAAATCATGTTTAGAAAACATGCATTATAATGATATTGTTTTATTAAACTGGGTTAAAATGAATGACGAAAGGAAAGAGAAAGTTCTTGCTGCAAATATCAAGAAATACAAGAAATTCTTATCCCAATTCCAAAAATAATCATTAATAAATTGTTTGTAATTTTTACGATTTTTTAAAAATATATAGCTTGAATTTGTCCAAAAGTTTGATGGTGTTAGTTTGCTAGTGTCTTTATTGCATTTAAATATGCACCCATTTTATTTTCTAATACTGCAATATTTAGAGGTGTATATATAGGCAGTAATTTTGCTATAAAAATACATCACAAGAAATCCAGGAGTGTCTTTAATATTTCCTGATTCAACTTTGTTTATGCATTTATATCTGAAATATGTGAGAAAAGATATTTTACTAATAAAACACACATCGAAAGGAATCGATGAATTACAAGGCGATTCAGAAATCCAAGTGTCTTTAATATTTCCTGATTCAAAATGAAAATCAATAAACAAGGCAGTTGCTGTGATTCAATGCTTAAGAGATAGAATCATATTCAAGGCTGGAGGTGGAATTTTCGGTTCAATGGTATCTCATATGGTAAATAATAGTCCAATTAACTTAATCTTTTATAATTAATAACAACAACTACACATTTCATAATAATTCTTAGAAGATTGAAAATTCTTCTATTTTTGGATCTTGGAAGTATTTATCGATAAGAAACTCATCATCAAACTCCAGTTCATTTAGAATTTCATCATTCTTATTGGGGATTTCAGTTTTTTGCTGACTTTTATTTTCTTTAAAATGTTTTCGTTGGTATTTTGCTCTTCGGTGAGTATCTACATTAATAAATATGACATTATCTATAGTGGCATGGCGGCGCATCAGCTTACGATATTGGGCTTTAATCATGACGTCAGTTCGGTTTTTAAAAAACTTAGCAATCATTTTCCATTTATTGCCAAACTCTTCAACTTTGCAAAGAAGAAGATAGTTTTCTTCTTTAGTAAATTTGCCATAGTTTAATCCATCACGAAGATAATTGATGTATCTGTCTTTGCATTGACGTCTGTTCTTGTTTGACATCAATGATGACACAAAAGTCCAGTTAATCTTTTTCAAATCGTTCAGATAATATTCTTCAACAATATTTTTCAATTTTTCATCATCTTCACTCGTAAACATAATGTGCTTCTTTTTAATTAGATCTTCATCAAAATCATCTTCGCTTGATGACACTGAATAGCCATCAGATAGTTTTGCAGTCCTCATTTAAATACAAATGAATTAGAAATTAAAAATATAAATCATTTTTGTGAACACATTCAAAACTGAAAAATAAAGAAAGATATAGATAATCTGGAGCATATTAAATATTATTTTTGCAAATTGAAAGCCTTCGATCAAACTTTAATTGAATTAAAAACTTCAAATCTAGAAATACAATCATTAAATGGCAATTTCGACTTTTTTTATTTTCAATGGAAATAATCGTACGATCAAAAACTTTTTGCAAAAACGGAGTATTTATGAAAATAATTTAGAATATCAAATTTATTTGCATAAAAAATTGAACATGCGAGAGTTTTGAGACATCTCATTGAATTACCTCAAATGTGTATTTTCATTAATAATAAGAAAATGGCTTGTTATAAAAACGTATTCAGTATTTACTGTCTTAAAATTTGAAATAACTTTGAAATCGCGATCGGATTCAAATTTGAATTTTTTCCCTCTGAAAAAGGATTAATGAGATGTTTTCTTAATGAATTTTCCTTATTTATTAGAAATAATAACAATAACGAATCTTAAAATCAATAAAATAACGACGAGATATTTCGAATTAAAGAAAATTACATCGAAAATGATGATGAATGATGCAATACAATCTTTTTCAGTTGTCCAGCGAATTGTTTACATCATTATTAAGTAGGGGATATCAAAAAGTCTCTTTTTAGTATTTATTTTATATCATTTTGAATTTACTGCATTTTTTATATATTTAACAAATAACATCATCCTTGATTGATTTGATGTCGTGCTCTTATCGATATGAGCAATGAAAATAGATCATTATAAGATAATACACATATAACGATTAAAAATGGCTTTAAATACAAAAAAAAACCAAGCACATTTTGCTTGATTGGATTTATTCACTGAAAGACAGCATATTATAGTAGGGTTTTGCTATGAATAAGTAAGTAAAAGTATGTAAAAAGAAAAAACACATATTCAAGGTGAAAAACGCTAATATAAGTTAAAAATTTACAAACAAACAGATAATTCTGATTTGAGCTGAATGATTTCATTCATTATCTGAGACGCCTCATTCTTCAGCTCAGGAGTGATTGGCTGTCTCTGTATCTCGTTCAATCTCTTGCTGAAAGCAATGACTAATTCGATGACTTCTTGACGAGTTCTTTTCGCCGATTTCTCGTATTGAGGAGGTATCATTGGTAATGGCTGTGGTGTTGCCTTAACAGATTCAATTCCTTGTGGAAGAGGTTTTGGAGATGCATTAACTGGAGAAATGCCTTGTGGAAGAGGTTTGGGAGGAGGAAGTTCAACAGTTAATGGATCAACTTCTTTTTCTTGATCAATTTTAGGAGAAATTTCCGATTTTTGATCATTTGTTGGAATTTCTTCAACTTTTTGATTTAATTCATTTGGTTTTTCTGACTCAACAGGTGTCAAAGAGTTATTCGGCTTATCTTCTTCCAAAGGAATAGCTTTCTGATGTGTTATGACATTGTCAATTCTTAATCTTTCAGGAGAACATGGAGGAGATGAAGGAAGAACTTTAGAAGGAGAACTTGTGTTGGATACAATTGGTTTATTTGGTGCAGGAAGGAAACTTGGTCTTCTTGGTGCAACGATTTCTGGAATTTCGAATTTCGGAGCTGAATTTGGAAGTGGTTTTGGTTTTGAATCAGGTGGAATGATTGGTTTAGGAATTTCTTCAACAACTGGTTCCTTTTCTTGGACAACATCAACTTTTTGAGGGACTTCATCAATTGATTCTTCAGAATCTTCGCTTTTAAGAAGGTCTTCACTTTCAGAATGTGCTGCAAAGAAACCTTTAGATCCTTCAATGAAACCTCTGACAAAAATTTCGACTTTTCTGTCTTCGTAAATCTTCATTGCTTCATCTTCTTCTGCTTCCTTCTTGATAAGATATTGATGATATCTTTTGAATGCTATTATACCTTTCTTCATTGAAACAATTCTTCCAAAATCAATAACAGACTTAATTAAGAACTCCAATTTTTTGAATTTCAAGTAACTTTTCTTCCATGGATTATAAATAGTTAACAAGAGCTTTGTTCTTCTGAAAATAGCTGCTTTACGTATCATGTCATGTTCATCTTTGTTTTGCTTGAATCCTTTAAGACCTTTCTTGTAATAATTTTTCTTGATAAACCATGAAATTTTGTTTCTCAAGTCTTTTGTGGCAACTGTTGACTTGAATAATGCACCCCAACGTGTGAATGATCTCTTGAGAAGAGTGTTTGTCGATTTCTCAATGTATTCTTGTGTTTTTTCGCGGTTAAACTTCGAAATGGAGTAATTCGATACCCATTTTGAAAAATAGCGATTCAAGGAAGAGTTGACCATCATTTTCCTTACATTTCTGATCTTATCGTGTATCTTTTTCAGTGAAATGGCATCATCTGCCCAACGATAAAAAATCTGTCTTAATTTTGAAAGTTGCAATTGATTTGATACGTCATTTACCATCTTGTCATCATTAACTCTTGATTCATGAATATCACACATTATATCAAAGTATTTTCTCATTAAATTCAATTTTGAATTTTGCATAAAATTAGAAAGCTCTGTTGTAATGCGCATTCTATTATTATACTTGTTAAACCAGCGATAAAATACTGTCTCGGTAACAGTTTCAATCCTTGCTTTTTGATATTTCGATAATAATTTTGATAATCTAATATTTTCATAATAAGTTTCGTTCCATAGGTAAAAGTAAACTCCTTGAATGATACTGTTAACCTTTTTCTGACAAATTCTGTATTTCCTTTGTCTTCTTGTTGAATCTTTCCAAAAATCCCAAAATCCAACAAGAGAAAAGTAATAGTGATTACTAGAAATATCTTCAAAGTTACGAGCTAGTTTCTTGCGCTTGTCAATTATATTAAACCAGCCCATAAATGCTCTACGAAGGAAAATTTGATTTGCATCTCTAGTATATCTGCGCGATTGCTTTTCTAAGGATTTAACGTACTTCCATCTATTAAAGTATATTCTCATTGAAAGTTTGCGACGCATTAATTGAATTTCAATTTCTTTTCTTTCATTTTGGTATAAATCTAAGTATTTTTGATACCATAATTTAATATATTTTTCTGCTTTGAGCTTTTCTTTTAGATATGCAAGTTTCTTGAATGCCTCTATCTGTTTCTTCCATTTCATAAAATATGAATTAAGTAGTTTTCCGGAAAGATTTTGATGAATTTTCGAAATATATTCCTTTTCTTGTTTTTCTGTCATTATCAACGATTTCCAGAGTTGAAAGAATTTCAATCTTATATGAAGGATACTAAATGTTTCAGCGCGCACTTCTTTGAGATAGTTATCTTGGTTCACAGACTGCAATAATGTGTCACTCAACATTTCTGTTGAACCTAGAGTAAATTCATTCATCAAGTGTACGTTTATTAATATTTTTTTTCAATTATTTTTATTTCCGCGGCACTAAGTTTGCTGTTATCTTCATCTCATAGATGAGCGAAATGGAGATGAGATATGTTGTCTGTCGGAACTTTTAATATGAAATAACGAACAATATACGAGTAGTACTGTCGTATTTTTAATAATTATCTGATTAGATTACCTGGCTCCAATATATAACTTATATATTTTCGTTGGCTCCTTACCATTTTTAATAATTATCTGATTAGATTACCTGGCTCCAATATATAACCTATACATGTGTGCAGCACTTCATTCTTAGATAATAAAGATGCAATAAAGATTCGTTAGCTCCTGGAAAGTGCTATTCTTCCTTATTTTATCCATTGCATCTTTATTATCTAAGAATGAAGTGCTGCACACATGTATGGAATACTACTTATATTAATGCAAACTTAGCCAATTAAATTTTCTTGCAAGTAAAATCTGTCTATCTATGAATTTTGGGAAATTTGGGAAAAATTTACATTTTGCAAGAATAAGGATCAAATACGAATAAACACAATCTATATATTATAGAATGCTTTTTTATCCCTTGATCGTGATATATTTTTGATCGCAAATTCTCTCAAAAATAATTTTCAGAAATCTTCCAAAGAAATCTTTAAACAACAAGGATACAATACACATACTATTTGGTTGAGCGGCTTTTTATTCAACTATACAATCACATAAACACATTTTGGATATCCTTTCAAAAATAACGCTATTTGAGATGAGCTTCTTTTTTTCTGAGTTTTGCAAAAAATTCTGAAAAATATCATACATAATATGATGCTTACAGTATTTTAATCATTATCTAAAATTTTCTCTTGAAAAACTTCCACAAATTTGGATCGCAAAAATTTTTATTGAATAGATTGAAAAGACTCAGAATTTCTATAGAATTTTTTCAATTTGTATCTAATTTCATTATAACAAATGCAACTCAGACATGATAAGATTGTCTTATTAGGTGACTCTAGTGTTGGCAAGACATCCACCATCGAGAAGTTCCTTCATGGAACTATTCCAAAGTTCTGTTCTTCTACAGTTGGTGCAGGTTATAGCGAACTTTTATTAGATTATCATAACTCAAAGAGAAAAGTTCAGATATGGGATACAGCTGGACAAGAGAAATCCCGCTCAATGGTTCCAATCTATGCTCGCAACGCTACAGGAGCTTTTGTTGTGTTTTCTTTAGACAACAAAGAATCATTCAAAAATATACCAAAATGGATCAGTTCATTGAAGACTGATGCTAAAATTGTCATTGTTGGAAACAAATGTGATCTTCCAATGCGTGAAGTTTCAAGACGTGATGCTCTTGAACTTGCATCAAAGTATAATGCTGAATATATTGAGACTTCTTCGTTAACAGGAGAAGGAATTACTGACTTATTCACAAGTATGGTCTCATCAATTATTGATTATGGAGAAAATCATAGTCCTGAGACATCAATTTCTAGTCTTGAAATTGAGAACAAGCGTGGATCTTGCTGGTAATAATATGTGTTGTTTGAAATAAATCATGAAGTTTAGATTTTAAATCGGAAACATAATTTTTTTGAAAATGTGTAGTCAAACTTATCATTCAGATCATTTCTCGTATAAAAATGGATATTTTAGGCAGTGTATATTCATCTATACTAGTATCAATCATCACAAATTCTGTTTGCAGAATAAGGAAAATTTGAGATTCCTGAAGGAACACTCTACTCCAATCAGTTTTGCTCTCCATCTGATGTGTAAAAGATACCTTTCATTACAAAATATTGGTTAGCATGTCGAAATAAAAAGTTTGTTGTTTCTATCAATTGTTTTCAAATAAAATTCACAAAAAATTAATGTCATTTTTTATGTTTTAAAAATTCATGAGCAATATATTAGGACTTCATTTTTGAAAAGCTTTATAAAAATTCTCAATTCACCTCACATTCGATGAATTTCGATCAGTTCCTTGCTACCGTGAAGAAATACGCAATCATTTTTGCCACAGGATTTCTTGCTGGCGTAATTGCATACCTTATTCAATATGTAATTGATCACAAGAGTATTGATTTGAATCTTTATAAAGAGTGTGATCTTTACTTAATGGGTTTAACATGCGGAATTTTGTACATTATCGAAACGCTATGTGAATACTGGCTCTTACAGATCAAATTCATTAAGTCAATCCATGATCAGCTCAGACCAGTTTTCTACTCAATTGTTGCCATTCTTGTTGTTGCAATCCTCTATGTTTTCACCATCCCATTCGTTCGCATCTATCACTTCCCCAAGGCTTACAAGGCTCTCGCTAAACATGCTTCAATTCCACGTATTATTGATGCATTGTGGGGAGGATATCAGAAAAAGTACACAAACACAGTCCCATATATGATGATCAGAATGCCAATTGACTCTATTTTCTGGATCATCCACTCAAAGTATCTCAGATCAGCTGGAAACAAGTATGTTTCAGTTGCAGTTTATGCCCTTTGCATGGCTGTTTCTGCTATTGCAGCAGGCTTAGCTGTTTATCCAATCGAATCTACCCTCGCTGGCAATAAGTTTGATCATTGCCTTCATCTTGGCATTGAAGATGCCATCGTTATGATCCCAATAGTTGTTGTCCTCTCCCTCGTTGATGGTGGCGAGAAGTCTGTCTCATTCTCATTAAGACTCTAAAATCATGAATAAACGAATTAATAACTTATTTATAAAGTATTCTCGATTTTAACTCTATTAATAATTGAGTTAAACAGAGAAGTGAATTGATTTCCAAAATTTACAGAAAGGTTCTCAATTAAACAAAGTTCATAGCTTGGAAAAAGGGTAGTCAGCGAGTGTAAATTGTTTTCTGTGGTCAAGCATTTCGATTATAAACAATATTGAATTTTGAATAAAAATTTCTTAGCAACTATCTCATCGTAACTCGAAAGATCATTAGCCAAAGAGTTTTTCAGATGAATTATTGGCTAATGTAGCCAATTATTACATCATATAAATGAAAATGCTGTAATATTGAGGGAGGACAGAGAATAGTCCGTAAACGATTATATGTTTCTAGATGCTATAGATGATTCCAAAGCAGGGAACATCGAAAGTGTTCTGGAAAACCAGGATAAGTTCATAGACGGAATAAGATTGCTTCCATAACTTTGAAATAACGACATATTGCAAATATCTACCTATTATGGAATACAGGAATCCTAAAAATAGCTCCTTATTTTCAATTTTATCTGATCAACACTTTATTGTTTGAATATTCATCTGTTTTAACACGATATATTAAATTGACTCAATATGCTTTATATAATAGCGAGAGATCGGAGAAATGAAATTCATTATTCGCAAATTTAAATAAATTTTGAAAATTTACATTGAAAATTTTTGAATAAAAGCAACGATAATTCAAAAATTTCAATAAAATTTTAATCTATGAGGAAATGTGAACAAAAGTTATCTAAAATTCAATAGCCTCTAATTCTGTCAAATTTTCGGTTTGCCACAAAACAAAATCTTCATGATCCATAGACATAATGGAACTACAGGAAACAATGATATGTTCCAAGACAAGCCTCAGCCAGGTCAGAGTCTTCCTGTAGCATCCTGGAATAGCCTTCCAAACATCCCAGTTCAGTCACGTAGTTATAAGGGGTGTTTTCACCGTGATCCACAGAATATCGCAATGTCTTTAAAGCGCCCGTCAGCACCAAATAATAAACCAACGTTTGTACTTCCAGCAGGCCGCACTTTTAAGGACTTTGAGCCAACACGCAGAAATTCTATCAGCCATTCGAAGTCCTGCGACGATATCTCCAGGACCCATTGCTAAATTGTTTGTTTGTATGTTTGTTTGATTAAGTTAAGTAAACTTTTTAATCTTATTTTACCTCAATATTTTATTTTCTCAATTATTTATCGTAAAAACACTTATGGCGACCGCTAACATGTTAAAACACCGAAAAATAAGAAGATTACAATAAAATAACCTAACCGAAGTTTAGATAAAAACAAACAAAAATAATATAATAATATAACTTAAAGTGCTGGATCCATATCAGAAGTATCGCAGGAAACAGCTTGTGAGTTCTCGTTTTCGTGAACAAGCTGGCACAAGGATGGCTTTAAGATTCTTAAAGAGAATTCAACAAGGAATGAGATAGACAACGAGATAATCGATGCCAAAATCATTCCCATCCAGCAATCGAAACGTGTATAAATCTCTAAAACACTTCCATAGAAGTTTGAATCAATTAAGTAGCCGTATAATGGAAGAACACCAAACATAATGGCTACAGATAGCAAATCAAGGATAATGGCATAAACATTCCAGTCATTTGACCAAAATGCAATTTGGACTGAAATAACAATAACAAGAGTGACATAGTTCAATGTTCCAGTGCCAATCATGGATAAATCTGGGCATGAGAACGTAAGAATGGCATAAATGATCGCAGACTGGACAATTCCGAGAATTAAATAATAAGTCAACTGAGAATATTCCAATGGACTCTTGTATGTTCCATGAAGCTCTGGATGATCAATTAAGTCTGAGCTTCTGTTGTCCTTGTCAAATAATCCGAAAACAATAACAGGAATGAAAGAGAAGATTAAGTTGAAGCATGTCATAAGGAAACCATCAAAGAACGATGATGGAGAGGCCAAGTTGTTGAAATAGCACCAAATTAAGATGCATTCGAAGGCAAAATTCTTGTAAAGCATCATCATCGTTACATAGGATAGTCTATGAAGGGTCCAATGGCCGTGAACACCGATAAGCTTCTGTAAGTGTCTGAACTTTGGAATTGCGAAATCACTCATTTGAGCAGCCTGTGTTCCTTCACGACCGAAGATTCCGACGCTAACTGATGATTCCTGGATCATTCCGACATCGTTGGCCCCATCTCCGACTGCTAATGTGATCGCATTATTTCTTGTTCGGACCAAATTAACAATCTTAGCCTTCATGTATGGAGAGACTCTTGAAAAGATGACAGATTTGCACTTCATTGCCAGCTTGAAGAAGAGATAAGACTGATTACTTAAGCAGAATTCCAAAACTTCCTCTGTAATGACTAATACAGGATCATTGAAGTTGTCAAACTCATCAATGTATCTTCCAAGGTCTAATGATGTAACGATTTTGTCACTGTTACCTAAAATCAAAACATCTGAACCATGTGGGATAACTTTTGATGTTTTTCCAATTTCAATTGCTGTTTCGAGCTTATCTCCTGTTAATACCCAAACATGGATACCTGCTCTTCTTAGCCATTCGATTGTTTCTGGAACTCCTTCTTGTAATTTGTCTTCAATTGCTGTAATTCCAATGCATTCTAAGTCTTGTTCAACAGATTCAGCGAATTCTAACAATTTCTCATCAACTTTGTCCATAGAAAGAGTGATTTTGTTCAAATTTTCCATGAATTTCTGTTTTTCTTCTCCATAAAGTTCTTTCATAGCGAAAACAAGAGTTCTGTAGCCACTGATTGCATAATCATTAAGCTCCTGTCTGAAATATACTTCTCTGCATCTTGGGTAGATGATGTTATCAGCTCCTTTAGTCAGAACTAAAAGACCTTCTTCGCCCTGTTTCCTGACAACAACTGTCATTCTCTTTCTTGTTGAATTGAATGGGAAAACAGCAATTATGTCATAAACTTGGTAAACTCCATTAACTTCAATAGCAATTCTTGCTGGATTTCTTGCTTTCAAAACCCAGTTGCATTCAGAAGCGAATTTGACGAAAGCTGCTTCATCAGGGGATTCTGCGTTGTATTCAATTCCATTTGGAGAATTGTAGACAATTACAGAGTTATTAAGGACAAAACTGAGTAACATATCAGCGCTTTTCTCCTTATCTTCAGCGGAAAACTGCGAGAAATACTGAGAATGAACTCCAGAATGATCAACAAAAGAAACTAAGTTCATTTTGTTCTCTGTGAGTGTTCCTGTCTTGTCTGTGAGGACAAAATTGATCTTAGCCATGTCGATAAGCATGTTTGAGTTGTGTGGAACTGCATCTCCCATTTCATCATCATGCATGTCCTGATCAACGTGAATCGTTATAGCAATCCAAAACCTGAGGATCTCGATAATCACCATCAATGAGATCGGGATCATATAAGAGAAAATAATTAGATATTGCAAAATTGATTGAAGAAAACTAATGCCAATTGATGGAAGAACGTCATCAATTACATTAAATGAACCAGCAAATTCGAAAGCAACGCACGAACTCGAGATTGCTACTACGATCAATAACATCAAAACAAAAATCAAAATTACAGCTTTATTCACGCTGTAATCGAAAGCTGTAAGTTTAGCGGGTGGAACGCGTGAGTTTTGCATGACTCTTGTGTCGGCTCCTGTAGCGATCGCAACACCTATTACCCAATCAGTGTATTTCAGTGTCATACCGCGTAATAATATGTTGTTGATTGAAGCCGAGAACTTTTCTTCGCCTTTTATTAATCGGCAATAAAATGAATTTAAAGATCTTGATGGTTCGTTGAGTTCTATATTCCAAACATCATATGATTTTGGATCATTTATGATATCTGTTTTGTTGAATATTGGAAGATCAGCCATCGTTTTAACAGCTGTTTCTCCATTGAGATTTGCCTCGGAATAGTTGCATATTCCATCGTTATTTGATGAGCAGACGTATAATAAATCGCAGGGAATCATTTGGTCGTTTTTGATTTTGACGAGATCACCAATACGAATGGCTGATGATTTTGTAACTTCCCAATTGTTGTTTTGATATACGAAATACTGAGTATTGTTTTTTGTTTGGTCTTCTCTGAACTTTAAGTAATCTTCAATACCGCTTTTTACCATTGAAACGAGCAAAACGAAGGATAATGGGATGAGTTGGAAAACCCATTCAACTGGAGAATATGGAAGACAGCATATGACAAGAATAAATAAGAAGTAATCGTTGGCAACAATCCTGAAGTTTTCGAATAATGTAAGTGGAATGAAATTTAAGATGTTGTATCTATGAGTCTTGACGTAGTTGTCGATTTGTCCTGGGTAATCTAAGTTTTTGCCCATAACGGAGATTTTGGCCCATGAATTAAGTTGTTGTTGCTCGTTTTGCATTGAAAAAATTAAATATCTTGGGAATAAAATTTTTGCAAGCTTTTGAATAACCTTTCAAAATTTTTGCAAACGATGTTGAATTCGTGTCAATTTAATTAATTTATCAATTATCAGCAATGTTGTTAGAAAAGTCTATTTTGTTAATACATTCAATTCGATTTTTTCATAGAGTGGAAATTGATTACTATATTTATCATTCTTGGTTATATATCAAAATTAAGATTTTTCTCCAAGCCAGGTTTTTAATTTATCCGGTGAATTCAGTACCTTAAAATATTGAATGGGGAAAATAACCTTTCTCGAATAAATTAAAATTATAGTTGTAATCAAGTTACCGAATTGACAATAGAGAATTATCGATAATTCAAATAACCTTTTTGTAATTCCGATAATTTGAAGAAATTTTACCGGTGCTATTGGCTAATTATTCTGCATAAATCCACGATCATTTTTCAATAGTGTTTCAATAGTTTTTCAATTGAAATGACATTGAATTAATTCACCATAACGATAATTCAAATTTAATCAGTGAATCTGTCAATTTGATCGGCCGCCATTAAGCTACGAAAATCCATTCCATTATTAACCTCTTTACAAAATAGTGATTGCATAGTAAAATCCAACTAATACTAGCAAATGCGATCAAATTTTTATTTTCAATCGAATGAACAAATCATATCCGTAATATATTTATTCTAATTTCAATAATGGCATAGCATTTGTAATGGATTTTACTCATTTTTAATACCCGTAATTAATTTTTTCATTGACATTGCAAACTGCTATGTAAATTTAAGTCATGCTTAACAATTGTAATTTTTCGCCCATGTGAACATATTTCTAATTCAGTATTTTGAAATCTTTCAAAGATCTATGAATATTGTTATTTCAACATATATGTATTAAAGCTTATGGAATCTCTCATTCACACATTTGATCAATTTTATGAAATTTAATAATTTCAAAAATATATATTCGGAGTTCATTTTAACATTCGCGTATATTAAGAAACCGTTATATATCTTGTATAATATGTTTTTAATGCTCCAATTTAAAAAAATTCCACACTATTGATTTTTCGTAAATCTGCGAACATAATTTTAATAGAAAATTTGGCGCAATGCAAATTTTGAATTCAAATTTGGTCATTCAAATTTGTAAATTAAAGATGTGTATTTTGGTCTTTTGATAATCACCTACACCATTAAACTCTGAAAAGGAAATTTATACAAAATTTTAATTACACAAAAAGTGACGGAGGAATTTTTTTGGCGCACTTGGCGCGCTTCACAAAATTTAGGTCTGCCATGAAGGATTTTGCTGAGGGTTGCGTGCTTGTCACTTGCAAAGCTGGAAAAGCTTCTTTTATAACAGCATTCACCCCAGATGACCTTGACTTGCAGATTTTCAATCAAGATTTTTACTCATGTGCGTTTCCGAAGAATCTCTCAAAGGGTACACAGTCATCTGTGTTTGCATTCACAGTTGGCTCAATGACAGCCTATACATGGAGCTTCCAATATGGCTCAAATGTCGATTCAATCATTATTCTTTCTTCATTACCATATCCACATTTATTCCTTAACTTACTCAGCGAGGTCTCTCAGAACTGCCCTGCAAATGACACAAACTTTGATGAGGACACAAGGTTTAATTTGGTTGTGTCGTTTATAAATTCTTGGAAATTACAAGCAGAAGGAAAAGTTCTCTATTCATCTATTGAAGCAAGCGGATACTTTGGTCTCTCAAACTTTGGCTATTCTTCAATAGATCCTTATCATTATTTTGGCAAAGACACAGATTACACCAAAATATGGAAATCACTATTGCTTAACCAAGGAGTTGCAGTTATCGGAGATGATAAGTCTTCCATTTGCCAAGGAGTCTTTTCTTTGCTTGGATTATTCGAACCATTCAAATTCAATGGAGAATATCTTATTACAAATAATCCAAAAGATAGTAGACTCTTTGACACATCAAAGAAATACTCTATTGTAGGCATTTTGACCAATAATTTTAATGCTTCGAAATATAAAAGGAAGTTTGGAATTTGCCTTCAAATAGATACCAAGACCGGACAAGAACTTGATACCGTCATCATTCATAAAAAGCAGAAACTCCTTTATGACCTCATGGAGACTATTTCAAATAGGAATCTTGAAACAGATCCATATCATGAACTTCTTAGCAGAAGACTTGTTACTGATGATATTGATACAGTAATGTGCCCTCAAATGAAGAAGAAAACACTGACTTTCAGTGAATTAAGAATTTTTGAAACAACAAGATTAGTTTCTGAATGGATGAATGGTCGTACATATAGACCGGAGCTCAGAGAATCATTCCTTTCCAACACTCCTTCAGAAATTGTCGAGAAAATTGAAACAAAAGATTTACCTTTGGCTCTTTCAGCTGTTAACTCGATCAAAGCCATGTTTCCGAATGATTCTCACTTCCAGAGCGTAATGAGAAAACATAGAAGACTAATTGAAGATCGTCTGGGTCAAATCAATCGTAGATCTTCAGACAGCGAATTGTAATAATAATATTAAACATTTTGTTTGTATTTTTCGTCAATTATTGGAATTTTTTTCCCCTCAAATTCAAAATGGCAAACCCAAATTTTAGCTAAAAGTGACAGGGAAAAAAAACGTTTAGTATTAAAAAAAAGACCGATGAGAGCTTCGTTCGAAATATAGAGGGAACTGAGAATGCGCAACCATTCTCAGGGAATATTGGATGCTATTCCCATTCCCTCTGTATGGAAAATTGAGGTTTTCAAAGGGAGTTAAAATAATATCAAATTTATACTAATTTACTTCAAAATACAAAAGTATTTGACAGCTAAAATTAGTTACTTTAGCAAGCCTATCAATACCCTTTTACGATTATTGTTACTTTTTCGAAATAAAAGTAAAAACAAATTTATACTAATTTACTTCAAAATACAAAAGTATTTGACAGCTAAAATTAGTTACTTTAGCAAGCCTATCAATACCCTTTTACGATTATTGCTACTTTTTCGAAATAAAAGTAAAAACAAATTTATACTAATTTACTTCAAAATACAAAAGTATTTGACAGCTAAAATTAGTTACTTTAGCAAGCCTATCAATACCCTTTTACGATTATTGCTACTTTTTCGAAATAAAATAAATTTATTATCAAAAACCTTTTTTTCTTAGTAAAAATAAAAATGTTATTTTATATCAAGTTTTTATTCATAAATTTTTATAATGTTGTATAAATTTGAAGGTGGAAATCTGTAATAATTTTATCTTGAAAAGACTTGGCATTCTCAACAATGAATTGAGGGGTATTGCATCCAAATTCTGTAATTTGCGTGAGAATACTAAGCTTGATTTCCATTGGGATACTTAATTTCGAAAAATACTGGGTCATTCGTTTTTGAACCTTTGCTGCCTTGACAACTTTATCAAGTAGGTCATCTAAACCCAATTGAAGCGTATTTAAGTTTGCTGATGAGTTAACTATTAACGATTTAATTTTATCAGTGAGCATTATACATTTTTCTGTATCCAGTCTGATTGTAGACTTTTTTGGCTTTTTTTCAGATGGCAACGGATTTGGAATTTTGTCTCTGAGCCTTATATCTTGAGAAATTCTGTAATAAAATGAAGGAACGATAAAATCGATTAATTTCATCACAAATCGATCAAATCTCATGAAAATTGTTCCGCCAAAGTAGTAATATTTAATTTTTTTGTTAATCGATTCTGAAATGTTATTTGTGAGAGCTAAATTTTCATCTCTTTCAGCGGCTGTCCATCTTTCTTGGTTTGATATCCATTGATTTTGTATGTATTTTGAAAATTCTGGGAATTTTTCGGCTATTTCCAGAATTTTTTTGAACGTTGGTTCAATCCATTCTTTCTTGCCATTTCTGCCGTATGCAAGATAGTTCATTTTTGTATCTAATATCAATTTGTCTGAACTCTCAAATGCATAATCTTTCAAATTTTTTCTGAACGCCCTCATTACATGAACTGCACACCAATGAAGGATAACTTCTGGAAAAGAGTTGATAATCGCATTTTCGATTTCTTGTGCACAATCTGACATAAAATATTTTGGTTTTACTTTTGCCCAGTTAAAAAATGCCTTGAGACAGAATGCAATATTTTCTGAAGTGTTTGGATAAACGACAAATTGAAAAATTGGGAATGCATGTGTATTTGGAAATTTGGCTGATATCATGTAAAACAACATTTTAAATTCAAGTAATGAATGGGTTGCATCAATAAAATGCTCTTTCACAATTTTGATTATGTCCAGAAATTTGAAAGAAGCATAATAAAAGATTAATTTCTTTGGTTTGTTGTAATTATCGACATCGAAATAAATTAAATCTTTTGGTGACTCTTGTTCTTTGATACCCTTAAATAATCGAGTTGACTTGAATTGATTATCATCGTACTTTTGAATACCTTTGATCTTTTTATTTCCTTTTTCCTGAATTGTTTTCATTTGATCTGAAGATGCATTCAAAAAAGATGGCCTGTTAAGTGGATCATCCAGATCAAGTTTTTTGTCGCATTCAATTTGAGCTATTTTCGGATCACCCCCTGTTTTATAAAATTAATAAGTACCCGACGATAGCATTGTGATAATGTGTGGTATTTCTTTGTCTCATCTTTGATTTGATTGTGATTATGTGTTCCATTATATTCTGTTAGGATATATTCTTCATCATCCTTTAGAAATGAAATACATGCTTCACATTTATCTGCACTACACCTGAATTTTAATTTTGTTCCCCCTAAATTTGGATTTTTTTAATTGATATGGACAACCTGCATGGCATTCGTTATCAATGACAGCTTTCATAGCATCTATATAAGATAGCCTTTCTTTAAGTTCGCATGGTGCATCGATATGCATCAAAAAAATGAAATGAAATTTCAATATCAAAAAAAGCACAAAATTTGAAAAAATTCACAAATCTCGGTTTCTGAAAGAAAATGGCCTCTTAAACTTTGTGCATATATTCATCTATAAGACACATTGTATCCATATATTATTTAGCCAACACAACTTATCTGGTATCGAGAAAATTCAAAAAAAGCACAAAATTTGAAAATTGCTCGGTTCTACATTCAAAATAAATTTCATTAATTTTTACGTACATATTAAGGTATTTATCTTTTACATATATAATCTTCATTAGATATATACATGATAAATAAAATCAATAAAACATTAAAAATCAAAAAAATTAGATGAACCTTGGCAATTAAACTTTATTAAATAATAGTTGTTTATAAATTATATTATATTATCATTTAATATTATTTTGATAATGAAGATTTTATTTTGCAATAATATAAACGAAATTTTTTACCTTATGAACTTTTGATGGAAATATGCAAATTTAAAATAATAAAGAAAGCCGCGAGCGAAGCGATCGGCTTAGTTCGAAGATTTTGATTCAAATCTTTGCTGATCTGTAATTTGCGGAAGCCGCGAGCGAATCGAGCGGCTTAGGTCTAAGATTTTGATTCAAATCTTTGCTTATATTCCTTAAATTCTTTATGAAACTCGCAACAGTTCCATAAAAAATTTTAAATTCTAAACTGTCGAAATTACCGATCGGTAATCACACCCTTCACGGGTGTGTCATTTTTTACAGGCGTGTCACTTTTAGCTAAAATTACCCCGACTCAATTCAAAATTGAATGATAAAACTGACATAAAATTTTGGGAGTGAAAACTTTAATAACGAATCAAGAAAGACACATATTAACAACTATAATTTCTGCAGGAGAAAATATTTTTTGTAATTTTTTTTTAAAGAATGTTATCTCAGAAAGTTGTTATGGTCGGAGACTCAAGTGTTGGTAAAACATGTATCGTCTCTCGACTTATAAACAGCCAATTTAATTCAAGATCTGTTCCAACAGTTGTTGCACAATATCATCAATATAGCGTAACAGTAAATGATATATCATGCGATTTAGATATATATGATACTGCAGGACAAGATCAATATAAATCTTTAGCACCTCTTTATTACAGGGGCGCTTCAATTGGAATATTTGTTTTTGATGTTACGATAAAGAAATCTTTTGAAAATTTACCAAGTTGGATTGAATCATTCAAAAATATAAATGGAGATGAGAAAATTATTGTCATAGCAGGAAATAAAATCGATATGCCTCAAGAAACATGGCAAGTAGATCCAATTGACGTCGATACATTTGCAAGAAATTGTGGGTACCAATCATATATGACATCTGCTTTTACTGGCCAAGGCATCAACGAATTATTTTTAGGTGCCGCCACCCAATTAATCGAAAGTAGACATTCAGTAGCAATTACAGAAGATGAAGAAGCTGTTCCTAGATTGCAGCCAAAGAAAGAAGAATCTAAAAAATGCTGTTAATTTATTGGCTGCATATAGATAGTTCATATTGCCAGTTTAGATTCTTTTTACAGTTAAATGTTAAATATATTCTTACTATTCCTACAAACATACAATTTTATTTCCTCAATTTATAATTAATTATATATCATATAAACATCATAATTTAACTTTCATTCTTTCACGGAATATAGGCTATTCATAAAGTTCCATAACAAATTGATCATCATTGATCCAAAATTTTTCATGAAAAACTGTTTTCATAAAAAATTTCAACGGCAAAAATAAAGCAAAGCGAATGATTGGCTTATTTTATTATTTAAAAACAAATCAAATATGATTTGAATTTTGAAAAGTGACAATGCTCTTATGTTTACTTTCAACATTCAATAGTGAACGAGGAATATTTCGTAAATATTATCACGACAAGATAATTAGTGTAAACGTAAGTAATACATCAAAGCTCCACTTTGATGGAAGATTTCAAGATTCTTCTCCAGATTTAGCTATACAACCAGTTGATAAAAAGGAAGATTGGTCATCTGGATGCTCAAAAAACCATGCAGTTTTCCCATGGATTACTTTTAGTCTAAAAAATAAGAAATTTGTTTTTGATGCGTACTTTATTAGATCTGGTTGTGGCTATTATGGATACTGCTGTGATGAAAATATCGGCTGCTGTGCTTGCACACTTTACAGCTGGTTGCTTCAAATTTCAGATGATAATTTCACATGGATTGACGTTCATAAGGTTGAAAAAGATAAATCTTTGACAAGATGCCGTAGCAAGACATATCAAATGGATTCAAAGTACACAGCAAAATACATCAGACTAATTCAAACAGAAGCGACTTCAGGAGAACCACCATGCATTGCCATTAACAGAATAGACTTTCTTGGAAAGGCTATCAATGATGATGGAACTGAAGATATATCAGAAGAAGAAGAAGAAGAAGAAGCAGATGCTAAAATTGAAAATTTAACTCCTGCACATGATGAAGATGAAGATATAAGCATTATTGGTCATGTATCAAAGTATAACCACCATCAGGCAGTATAAGTCTTTAATTTTGAAAAAAAAAATAGGAATATAAAATTTTTATTGTTTTTCAATCACAAATACGCTTATCTTATTGGATTTTACCATACAAAATTTTATATTGTATATCAATTAAGACAAAAGAAGCAGGAAATTTTAATTGAATTTGAAATTGAAAGACAGAACAGAAAAATATGAATATTTATGAGATAAGTAGTCACTTGCAATCTCTAAAATGCGCGGCTCATTGATTCCGAAATTCAATGTAGTCAAAAAATGTCAACTCATTTTATGCCATACTTTCAGCGTTTCTATCATGCATTCATGAATTATCATTCACTCGATAAAGCATACAACTGATACCTTAGTTCATGAAACTCGATTTTAATATCAAGACTGAAATTTTCAACATTAATTTTATTGATATATTTGGATGTTTATCAATTATAGATTATTAAATTCAAGTAAAGGAACTGCAAATGTTACGTATCAGGACCTGAATGAATTTACGTTTGAATACCCTTGCAAATCAAATAATGATTGCACACCATATGTAGCAGAAATCCAAGCAGGCCGATACATCTTTGAAGTTTGGGGAGCACAAGGCGGCCAAAACGGCGGCCTTGGTGGCTATGCAAAAGGCACAATCTCATTGAAAGCTACTACAACGGCATATATCTACATCGGAGGCCAAGGAAGTAGTAACCCTGGCAATACTAATTATGGTGGCTACAATGGTGGTGGCAATGGCACTGGCATTTTTAGAGACTGCACAAAAGAATACGCCTACCTTCTGAGCAGTGGGGAGGGGCAACAGACATTCGCCTTCGCCAAGATTCTCTAAATCATCGAGTAATTGTTGCGGGCGGTGGCGGGGGTATTTCATATGAATATTATTATTACGAAAACAAGGGCGATGACGAAGGTATTTCATATGAATATTATTATAATTACGAAAACAAGGGCGATGGTGGCGGAATAAAGGGAGGCGATGGAGAATCTGAATATTCTAGCGTACCTGGCCATGGAGGCAATCAAACGAGCCCTGGATTACTTGAATGCGAAGACGAATTTAAATGTTTATCAGAAGACGAATATATCAAAGCTGGATTCGGATACGGCGGATCATCAAATGACCAAACTAACCTTCCTACGGTCGGCGGTGGAGGTGGATGGTTTGGTGGCTCCGTATCTTTTTTTACATTAATTGTGAAAAATATTCTGATCCTGATTTTAAAAGAAGATTTATCCCTAGGCAGGGCCGTGTTGAAATGGAATATCCAGAATTGGCAGCTGGAGGAGGATCAGGATATGTTCTTTCAAGTACCTCCCACAAACCAGATTATTACATTTATTCAGAAGATGACTATATGAGTGATACTAAATTAACAAAAGGTCTTCAAGAAGGCAACGGGAAAGCCAAAATCACTTTATTAGAATTATTTGAAGAAGAAGAAATCAAAGAGTCTCCTTGCCATAACTACATACAACAACGTTTCTCAATAAGAAAGAGATAAAGCATTATATATGATTTCCATTTGTTTGCATAACGTTTAACAGCATTCATCTTATTTTAACTCGAATTCGGAATCACCCATAGATGAAGATCTGATAGAAGTTTAATGTTCTAGTTGAAGCCAATCCAACTTTGTCCTTAATTCAAACAAATTCGATAATACAATTCATGTTTTGTAAGTACTATTTATCAACACTGACTATGATTTGCTAGTGAATCTGAGCCTTCTTTTAGAAAATACTAAAAAGAAGTAATACTTTCATCTTACTCCGAATAAAAACATATTATTTTTAGATAGGCATCATGCATATTTAGATCTCTGAAGAAAGATAATTGGATTTTTAGAGTGTTTATTTGGTGTTTCATTATATATGCTTCAAGGAATGGGAAAAACATTATCTTTATGCATACTAATGGAAGGAAATATATCCATTCAAGTACATCTAATAAACAGGATTATTACATTTATTTCTAAGATGATTAATCTTCATGCTGCTCAAATATAATCTGACGATAGTTTTATAAAAAGTCTATGCAAACTTCCTCTATCTACTTTTAATTCTCAATAAAACTTTATCATAAATTATTTCTAAAACTCAACTCTTTCCACGTTTAAATTCAATTTCAAATCATTTAAAAAGTATATTAATGCAATTTTCATCATAAAATCAAACAAAAATAATTTCTGAATATTAAAAATTATCATCAAGCAATTGTGGCACTTTTTGTGGGATTATAAACGAACTTGAAAAAATAATATCAAATATCTATTTAAAAATATATTTACAATTTTTTAATGCACACTTCTCAAAAAGCGTATAAAATATTTTGAAGTAATCCGATAAGAAATTATTGAGAGAGACAATTGTATTCAAAAGATTTTCTTTCAATGAAGAGAGCTTTGGGTTTCGTAACAAAAGCTTACCAAAGAGTGGTAAACTAATTTCTTCGTCAATTGTTCAGATATATATATGTTTATCAAATATGGCTTGAAAGATGAGAATAAAGGAACTGCAAAAGTTTCGCGCGAGAAAGAAAATGAAATCGTCTTTGAATACCCTTGCGAATCAAATTATGATTGCACACCTTACTACGCAAAAATCCCAGCAGGCCAATACATCTTTGAAGTTTGGGGAGCACAAGGTGGTCAAAACGGCGGCCTTGGTGGCTACGCAAAAGGCACTATCTCACTCAAATTAAATACTACTGCCTTTATTTCTATCGGCGGCCAAGGAAGCAGTAACACTGATAATGAGTTTCACCCCGGCGGTTACAATGGTGGTGGCACAGGCCGTGGCCATGCCATAGAATATCACACCGGCGGTGGAGGAGGTGCCACAGACATCCGCCTTCTTTCTGATACGCTTTATCACCGCGTCATTGTGGCTGGTGGCGGTGGTGGGATTATATCTGGTTTAGAATGTGAGACCTACGGATTCGGCGGTGGAGAATTTGGTGGTGATGGTTGTGAGAAAGGGCGTAATTCATTTTCAGGTAAAGGAGGCAATCAAATCAGTCCAGGCGAATCTGAAGAAATAGTTAATCAACAACATCCAGGTTTTGGAATTGGCGGATCAGTAACCGCTAACTCCAAAAACATCGGATCGGGCGGTGGAGGTGGCTGGTATGGTGGCTCGATATCGTATTTTGATCCTGATATTAACGTTTATTTAGATCCTGAATATCAAATATCTCCTAATTCTGGAGCTGGTGGAGGGTCTGGATATGTTCTGACAAAAGACTCATACAAACCAGCAGGTTATTTTTCTTCCGAAGATGATTATTTTATGACAGATATTGATTTATCAGGTCGAATTAAACAACGAGGCAACGGGAAAGCCAAGATCACTTTATTAGAATTATTTGAAGATGAAAAAGAAGTAGAAGAAGAAATCAAAGAATCTCCTTGTCATAACTACATAGAACAACATTTCCTAATGAGAAAGAGATAAAAAAATCCTCTTCAATGCTTATGCAAATGTTGGTTTTTCATTAGCTTACATATTGATTGTATCCATTAGCATCAATTTAAATACTAGAATATTTTATTAGTGATTCTTTGTTTAAGGGTGCACACATGTCTTTATGACACAACATTCAATTATGTTATTTACGGTTAATTTTCAATGATTCTTCGCGCTCGTTGTCAGAAATTTGATTTAAAGTCGGAGTCAACCCTTCAGGGTTTCAGAGAAATTTATAAAGCTAATATTTGAATAGCATTAATTGGAACGTAATATTAGAAATTAGAGATAAGATAATTATGATTAAAAGTAGTTATACAAATCGAATTAACATGTTAATTTGATCTGTATCATAAAAACAAACATAAATAATTTATTTAAGCTCCAAAATAAAAGAAATTACTGAGAGGAACAATAGAAGAAAGCTTTGGAATGCCCTGCTAAAAACTTATCAAAGGGTGTTAAAACGAATTCTTCGCCAGCAGTTACATAAAGAAATATGAATATTCATGATATAAATAACTGTTATTATCCTAAAAATGTGCGGTTCCAGGATTATAAAATTCAATGATGTCAAAAAGTGACAATTTATTTTATGCCAACTTTCCTACAAATCCACCCTGTATTCATAAATTATCATATACTCGATGGATAATACAGCTGATACCATAATTCATGATATTTAATTTTAATATCAAGGCTAATAATCATAAATATATTTAGATATTTATCAAATATGACTTGTTAGATTCAAGTAAAGGCACTGCAAATGTTTTGCACGAAAAAGGAAATGAAATCACATTTAATTACCCTTGCGAATCAAACCATGATTGCACACCATATGTCGCAGAAATCCAAGCAGGCCGATACATCTTTGAAGTTTGGGGAGCACAAGGTGGCCAGAACGGCGGCCTTGGTGGCTACGCAAAAGGAACAATCTCGCTCAAAAAAAATACCACTGCCTTTATTTATATCGGCGGCCAAGGAAGCAGTAATACCAATAATATTCACCCCGGCGGTTTCAACGGTGGTGGGACAGGCGTTGGCTATGTGGATGAATCTTATACGGGCGGAGGAGGAGGTGCTTCAGACATCCGCCTTCTTGCTAATTCGCTTTATTACCGCGCCATCGTGGCCGGTGGTGGCGGTGGGATTATATCTTACATAGGCAGCCACACCGAAGGATTCGGTGGTGGAGAATTTGGTGGCGATGGTTATCAAATTCGTGAAGAATCCTATCCCGGCAAAGGAGGCAATCAAACGCGTCCAGGAGACAGCCTTCCATACTCTAGTCTCCAATATCCAGGCTTTGGATTTGGCGGATCAGTTGGCGAAACTGATGCATACGGATCAGGCGGTGGAGGGGGCTGGTATGGTGGCTCGGTATCGATTTTTATCCCTGTTGCTCCTGAAGAAGAATATGTGGTTGATCCTGGATCAGGAGCTGGTGGAGGGTCTGGATATGTTCTGACAAAAGACTCATACAAACCAGCAGGTTATTTTTTTTCTGAAGATGATTATTTTATGACAGATATCGATTTATCAGGTCGAATTAAGGCTCCGGTCCCACCCTCTCAATTTTAAAAGTTTTAATATCTCCACCAATATGAGTTTTTGATACTTTTATTTTAGTATATAATATCATTATGTAATACACTATAGTATTGTATATTTAAACTGAGTATTACTATTATAGTTCATCTTATCTGAGAATTCGGTATTTTGACAAATTTCAACTTTGACTGGTGAAACTATTTATAATCAAAAAAGCCCACGACATTTTATAGCATATTAGTGATACATTATATTGTTATTAGTAAACTTGATTTTCAATCTCTTCTAGATGAGTTATTTGTTTTTTTGAAAAAATCTGACAAATCACTTTTTGACAGAATCTAAAGATTTTTGATTTGTGAAAGTTTTAATAATATGATAAGGTTTATATATGCTATCATAATATAATAAAATCATATAATATTACATTATCGCTATATATGTCGAATATTAAAAAATTGTATATTAACATTTTTTGTCATATCTTGATAATAAAGAAAAAACTCTCAGTTCCCCTTCAACAAATTGTTAGAATGCAACTAAAGTTTATTTTGATATAGTGAGTTTGCTTCTAAAAAGTATATGAAAGAAGAATTAGATTTGCAAGACCCCTATAAAAAACCATTTTTGCGTCGAGAATAACTTCATGCACGATTAATTGATATGATAATAAAAATCATATATGATAATTACTTAATATAGGCAACAATATTGTATTAATCACTTTTTGTCAAAACGGTTTTTCGATAATTGAGTATTCAATTTTCCAAAAATCCATTCAATAATTTGATTTATAATTCAACGTATAAGAAAAAACTCTAGTTCCCCTTCGACAATTTGTAAAGAAAATTATATAGTTTCTATCGACACTATTTGTATATTCTACCTTCTTCGGTATTTCGAAGAATTAGGTTTGCAAATTTGATATTTTTGATGTATTTATTCAAATTGAGAGGATTTTTGACGATAGAAGTAGGTGTTTTTTGAATTACAATTTTATATTGATGTGCATGATAAAAATTTGAACTTATATTATGGTGACATAGTATAAGTCATAATGTATTAATATACAAAAGATATTCAAAAAATTCCTTTCCAATATGTATAAACAAATCGATTTTTTAAATTAAATTTAAACCTTAAACTCAATATATTAAAAAGTGACATTATTTTAATTAGAAGTACAAAAATCCATAGTCATAGAATTATCAAATGATTGAAAATTGTTATAATTGGGCGCATTATACTCATTTATGAATTTACTATACTATATACTTTGCAAATTTAAAAATCCAAATTTTCAATTTTTAAAATATCATTATTTATCATATATCAAATAGTAAAGTTAGTATATATCATGTTTAAAACGATAATATAGTCAAATTCGAAAATTTTAAAAATAGATAATATTTAATTTTTATAAAATATTGGTATATGTGCAATATATTGGTATATTTTTACTCCTTATTAGATACTCGTCCTAACTATATGCAGCAATCATGCAGGACTGGAGCCTTAAACAACGAGGCAACGGAAAAGCCAAGATTACCTTATTAGAATTATATAAGCAAAAAGAAGTCAAAGATAGTTTTGTATACTGTTTGTGTAAACTCACACTCTCTACATCGATTATTTTTTCTCAAAAGAAAACATCTCATTTTTAATTTTATTGACAGCAATATTAGAAATTAAAGCTAAAGTTATAAAGTGAATTAACATGTTAATTTAATTTATATCATAAAAACAAACAAAAATAATTTACTAATATAAAGAAAAATATAAGAAATTATTGAGAGAGACAATTAATTGTATTCATAAGAGATTCTTTCATTGAAGAAAGCTTTGGAATTCGTGCTAAAAGCTTATCAAAGAGTGGTAAAACAATTTCTTCGCCAACTGTTCTAGAAACTGCAGCAGTTACGTCATCTTTAGATTCCAGTGCGAAATATCTTCGAAATTCACTAATTTTTGTTATCATTGCACCAATAAGATTCAACTGTTCGTGGTTTGAAGAATCAAAGACTTCAATCTTTTTGTATTCTTCTTCAGCATTGAAACAGAAACATTTCGAAAGCATTGGCCAGAAATCTTCATCTATTTCTGGAAGTCCTGAATCCAATGATGCCAACATTGCTCTTTCAAGTCGAACTAAATAATCAGGATGATCTCCAAAACAAACAGAAGCAGCAGAATTATCATTTGGATCATTCAAGAGCCAGAACAAAGAAGCAATCAATATTGCTGACTTTTGTTTCTTCGTGAAAAGTGATTCAGATAATTCCAAAATTGCTGCGGAAAACTGCATGCATTCAACACAAGAACTCCAAAGACCTTTTGACATTTTCATTGCCGATTTTACAAGTCTCCTGCAGATATCAACATTTACATTTCCTTGCAAATTCAGAAGATATATTGAAAGACCAAGCATTTCATCTTTATTAAGATTTCCAATCTTGATCTTATAATCCAATGGATCTTGTATCTTCGGAAGGTTGACGAAAATGTTCTTTTTGATTTGTGATTTTAGATTTTTGTTGAACAGTCTACAATAATTCGCATGCGATTTAATTATTGGCAAGAAAGCATTAAATGTATAAATAGAATCACCTATTTCCTTTCCAATAAACAACATGAAAATATCATCACAGAAATTGATTATAACAGCTTTTTTGCCATAAACATCTGCTTCGAGTTGAGTTTTCTTGTACATCTCGTATTTCAATTCGAAAACATCTCTGTTTTCTTTCAAAAGCTTATCAATGTCTGGTGTCTTTCTTATATTCCTAAAATCATTCTTCGTTGAGTGTGCGAAATACGAATTTTCCTGTGCATCGTAAATATAAAGACAAGCTTGTTCGAAACCTGCGAAAGAACCAATACCCCTACAAAACTCTGCGAGATTACTAGTTTCCATGTGTTTCTTGGCAACTTCTGTTACACCTTGTACAGTTAGTAATCTTTGCTTTTGTATTTTCACGTCTTTCTTGAACTGTTCTTCATCAGTAATGTTAAATGAGAAATTACAAAAAGCTCTTGCGATGCTTTCAGAGTTATCATGCAATCTATTCGACAAATTCAAAGGATTTGCACAGAAAATGCCGTATCTCGTTGATCCACGGCTTTCAAAACAAATAAATACTGATCTGTAGCTGAATCCTTGTATCGGTTCAAAGTTAGGAAGTTCATTAGGAGATGTTGTGTTTACTATTGAACCTCTTTCGAACTGATCTTTTACGAATTTCTCGGAAAAAGCTTTTCTTCCGAATTCGTAAAGTTTCTTTGGATTTTCTCCATCACCTTTTCTATAAACAGTCATTGAATCAACATTCATTGCTTTGTAAAGAGTATTAAATATATCGTCATGGTTAAATGACATTGCAGCCATTTTTTCTGGTACTAAACTAAAATCTTTTATACCTGCCTCGAGGTGTTCTTTTGATTTCGTTTCAGTAACACGTTGAACAACTAAAGACATTGTTGGAGCAATGACCATGGCTGCTTCCAATTGTTCTTCAGTGAATAATGTTCCTCTAGGAGCTGCTGCACATAAAACTGCAATGCATTCATTTGTTGATGACATGATTGGAGCTCCGTAAAATGATTTTCCAATACACCATGAATCAACTTTTTTGTGACAAAGTGATTCTTCTAATTTCTGTTCAATGAAGATTCTTCTTGTTTTGGCAATATGATGTGTAATTCCCGCGAAAGGAAGCTTCTTATCCAATGCTGTCTTCTCTTCTGTCAAAACATTGAAGATGAGCTCGTTGTGGTCGATGAAAAATAGTTTAATTATGTCGGCACCGATTAATTTCGGAAAATTGTTGTCGATAAAAGGAACAAGGTTTTCCATTCTATCGATTTTCAGACAATTCCTCTCAAAATCATCAACTTTCTTTTTGTAATCGTTGGGAGTAATGATTCCTGGAGCTTTCTGGTCAATGATAATGAGTGAAGAGTTAAGAAGAGAGAAGATATCGCCTACAGAGATGTCTTCGTTCTTGAAAGGAAGAGAGGAATCGTCAGATCTGATCGCCAAAACTGAAGCAGCGTCTCTGGCGGGAACTATGATGCACGATCTGTCTTTGGGGTTAAAGACACTATCAACTTGACGGTTGAAGTTGGGAGATTCTGAAGGGTGGTTGAAAATTTGAGTTGTAGTTGTTTGAGGGATTAAAGATTTTGGATCTTTGACGTATATTGTGATATCGTTAGGAAGATCACATGCGTAAACTCCTGTACTAATATCTTTTAAGAAGTAAAATGTTGTATCTGATTCTAAAATTTTTCGAACGGCTTCCATAATTATGGATTTGAAATCAGGCTTGTTTAAATTCATGGATAGTACTAAAAATGATGACCATATCAATGAAAATCTCTGTAACTGGTGCCCAGTATAAGAAATAAATCTGGATTTCGAACTTTGAGGGAGATTTTTGATAAGATCAGCAAGCATATCTGCATATCCAGGATGTAGTAATGCCTCCAAAATCATTGGTTTGTTCCTTAAAAATTCTTCAGTAGTGTTTGGCGAAATCTGTGATATAAATGACTCTGTTTCCATGTATTTTATAGTTGTATACTTGTTTGCTTCATCCTTATCTTGTTTTAAAGATAAGCTCGATATTCTTGAGTATAACGAGTTTATTCGATCTTGGTTTTCATTCGCTTCTGCAGTGAGCATTTCGATTCTTTCTGATAGTATAGTATTGTTCGATTCTAAATTTGAAATAATCTTTTTGGAGTTTTCCGTTAATTTGTTCAAACTTCTCAGAGCTTCAACAGAAGGCTCAGATGGAATAGGATTTTTATCAAAAAAGTGCGGGGATGCTGGTTCTGTGGAAGGATCTGTCCGAGTTCTGCTTGGTAAAGGCCCCCATTTGGCTCGGAGAGCGCCTGGAGCTCCCTTTTTCTCCATCCTGTCACTTTTACATTAAAGCGACGCAGAATTTTGTATTTTAACACTAGATATCCCAATCATTCCTGTTTACAAAACAAATCTTCGGACTAAATTTTCTCGAACATTACGATTTATCCCTAAATCAATCAAAATTAATATTATTATCATTCCATTATTTGTAAATTTCACTATACATGTTATTGGTTCTTTTAATTTTCCAGCAATTCTTATTTTTTGTTCGAGAATTAATTGTAAATGGTCCAAAATGGACTTTTTGCCTGTGAATAATTTAATTTTGATCTCCTTAATCTATAAAATGAGTTATAATTTCATGAAAATTCGCAAGAATTTTTTTGAGAATACCCTCCTCAAATTTTCACTGAGAAAAAAAATTTTGTAAACTTCAAATGGGCATATTCGTTGTTTTTTGTTATCTCCATATAGATACAAATAACTTTTAACAGAAGGAAAACTCTAAAATCTTTCTACTCATTTTCAATGGAAAAATTTGAGAGAAAATTAACTCAATTTTTTCATCGCATTGTTATGACAACACAGGAAGTATTTATGGATTCTTATATATCACAAAGTATTTCAAATGCATACTCAAGTCCTCCTCTATATCGGCCATATGTTAAACCTCATGATTTTGTACAGAAAAATTTATATTCTTTAATTCCAGGAAATTTATGGGAAGCAGCGACCGGCGAAAAAGTCAAAATAGACCAAATTATTACTCAAAATGCTATAAGTGTCCTTTCAGCTAATCAAGAAGATCCGAGACGTTACGTAAATATGGCAAAAGACAGACAAAACTGCAGAAAACTACAGGACGATCTACAATTTGGAACTGATAAATTCAGAAATATAGTTTTAAATTCATTAATTCCATATCTTGGAGAATTATATTGCGATCCTTCAGCAAATTTTGTTGTACAGAAGCTCCTCGATTATGCTACAAGAGAACAAAAGATATCTTTCTTAAATGCGTTTAAAAAAGATCCTCTTGAAATTGCAAATCATCCTTGTGGGAGTAGAGTGATGCAGAAGTTTATTGAGTGCGCGGATACTGATCTAGTTGACGAATTATATGTATTTTTGTCCTCATCGATATTAGATTTATGTCAATCTTTGCATGGAAATCGAATTGTCCAACAATTCATCGATATTTTGCCGAATCGCGTACCGGAAATCATTAAATGTATCATGCCATACACGATTTCATTGGTCGCTGATAACTGCGGGTGCAGAGTTGTTCAACACCTTTTTCAACCATTCGATCAAAATAAATTAGCGCCTTTGATTTCGGAAGTTATCAAGGCTGCACCTCAACTAACGGCGAACCAATATGGTAATTATGTCATACAGAATATTATAGATGACGGAAATGAAGAACAAGTTGCAGAATTAATCAAATCTTACAAAGGTTACTATTATTCATTTTCGATACATAAATTTGCATCTAATGTAATAGAACGATGCATAAGACGAGCTAATCAGGCTCAAAGAGAATTTATTTTTGCAGATATTATCGGAGTTGAAGAAAATTACAATTACGATCGTATTTACAGCCTTATAACCGATAAATTTGGCAACTATGTGATACAAAGAATCCTTGAATTTGGTTCGGATTCCCGGATTAACGCAATCTATGACGTTGTAGATAAGAATTATGATGAATTGCAGGATGTCGGATACGCAAAGCATGTAATTACCAAGCTTAAAGCATTAGGTTTCGAATAATTTTCTTTATTATAATTGTTTATTTTGTTATTTGTTGTTAAACATGATTAAATGTTACTTATACAATAATTGATTCATTTTATAATCCAAAGAAAAGAGAATATAAATTGAAATTAAAAAATTTCGGATAATTTATGGCCATAACAATGAAACAATACTATATCCAATGAAATATGATGAATTACCATACTTTCGAATACATACTATCTAAATTTCAAAATGTAAAGGTCGAAATTTACAAATTCAGGAATAAGAAATATTAATTATGCAATGATATAGAATGCTGTTATCATATTTATAGTCATCTCAATGATGTGTATCGATTATTGTAAATATCAGAAAATCCACATCATGGAAAACATGGAAGATGTTGATGACGTCCTTCAGGAATTGATCGATTCATTGAACGGAACGAGGCAAATGAACTTCCCTGAAAGATTGTTCCTGTGTTTGGAGTTTATTGATAGACATCCAGATTATTTTGATCAAGTTGGAGCAATTTGGAGCGATGATGGCAACGATTTTGTGGTCTACAGCGATAAACTATGCCATATACTTAGAATCAAAAGGAATTCTCTTAACAAAAACTTCAATATGTACGGATTTAAAAAATTACTCTTACTAGATCCACCTCGCTTTGCAAAAAACAAGTTCAAGAGGAGTTTACTCATACGCCGTACAAGCTCTCAGTTCCAATTCAGCAGAAGTACAGATTTTAGTACGATCAGAAAAGCAGCATCATTAACGACCAGATTTACGTCAATCAAGAAGAAGATCGAAGTAACTGATGATCAGGGTCCTCTTATTCGATCCAGTTGGTTAAATTTAATCGGACCGAAAAAAAAGGTCACTAGAGACGAATTGGTTGAACGTATAATCACTGGTATTATTGAAGATCAAGGCTCATCTCATTATGATGCTTGGAAAGCTACGATAACTTCATTGATCGAAAATGAAGAGCTTGGTTTCACAGAATACATGAACTTTGTGAAGAAGTATGGTGTTCTGAGTGCGGCCATCAAATTCTTTCAAACAATTATTTCATATGATGGAATAATTGAACCATGGTATGGAAGTTCGATCAAAACTGGCTGGAATTGGTGCGTATACCAGTATTTTCCATGCAGGCTTAAAGTTTGCAAGCGTAACCGCGAGACAATTATTATTGATCATAAATTCAACGGAGAATTTGCTGTTATTACAGCAGAGTCGGGTCTTGTGACAAGCTTCTCCTTGAAAGAGTTGCTCTTTGACATTTTGAAGCTTGAGAACATTGAAATTGCAAATTTCGATGTTGAAGCCGAAGAAAATGACGTTGAAGATAATCATCTACCAAAGCTTGAATGGGAACACATTCAATCATCCCCAGAGTATACAGATTTTTCTTTACATTTATAAATAAAAAAAACTTTTTTTGTATAAAATATCGGCGTGAAGTGTCAAACAGTTTTTTCTCAAAAGAAAATTTTTGATAAAGTGGCAAATGACATTCTCTTGACATTTTATAACAATTGATTTTTATGAAATGTTGTATACTTCTAGTTGTTTATTATATTACAAGAATTTTCGATTTATTGATTGAAAATTTGAATAAATATCGAAAACATTATGTTTTTTGCTATTACTTCTCTTGGAATCTCCAAGATTTTACCATTCAAAACATTGCACGGTCCTAGATACTTCCCAAAACATGGACCATTCGTACCATTATTACCTGGGTACGAAAAGATCGGACAATACATTCCACCTTCTTATCGTATAGCCGAAAAGAACGGGCCGTACTTCCAGGAAGATGAAAATGGCTGGTTGAAGAAGCTCGCTAAACGCATTGGTGTCGGCGCCACGATTGGCCTTCCATTCCAAGAAACCGAAGAAAACGGCATGATGTTAGACTTATATAAAAGCATCCTTAAGCAAGAAATCTTGAAGGCTCTCTACGGTCAAGAAGCCGAAGAAAATGGAATAAGATTTCCAGGACCAAGACCAACTAGACCAGATCCAATATTCCCAGGACCAATATATATCCAGAAGGCCGAAAAGAATGCATTCAGACCAATCCCAATGCATCCACCACCATACTTCCAGGAAGATGAAAACGGCTGGTTCAAGAAGCTCGCTAAACGCGTTGGTGTCGGCGCCGCTATAAAGATTCTACTCCAAGAAGCCGAAGAAAATGGCCCATTCGAACCAATCCCAATCCATCCACCACCACACTTCCAGGAAGATGAAAACGGCTGGCTCAAGAAGCTCGCTAAACGCGTTGGTGTCGGCGCCGCTATGAAGATTCTACTCCAAGAAGCTGAAGAAAACAGCAAGTGGACACGTTTTCGTGATAGACACTTGAAGCCAGCTATCATTTCCATTCTCCAGAGAAATGAAGACGAAGACGAGAACAGCCTATGGACAAAAATCCGCGATGGTGTCATTAAACCAGCTGTCATTAAGGCAATATTACTTCAGGAACAAGAAGAAAACTTTAGGCAGCATAAAGAACCTATTAAAGCCAATCAAATGGAGATAACGCCACCAGAAAGACCATATCCAATTACCCTCAAACCAGTAGCCCCAGGAATCATGATTGGTATTTAATTCGATAGTTTTTTTTAATACAGATCAAATCCTTCACCTGTTGAAAGAGAACGGAATTTTATTAAATATTTCAATATTTCACCTTCATTAATTCCAAATTTACATTTTAAAAAATCTTCTGAACAACGAGATAAAAATAAGTCATTTATTTTTCACAGTCTCCATAAGTATATCAGAACACTTGACAGGCTCTTTATTAAAAGTAATAAATAAAATTCATATTAATTAATTAAAAATTGTATAAAGTTTATATGACCATCTGTTGGCATAAATCTATTGGATTCCAATTTAGAACAATTCAGAATGAGTTTTGCATATCGATATTATAATTTCAAGGATTGTAATATCGATAGTAGAAATTCCATTCGTTGCATTTTTCATACAAAATACCACCAATATTTGGAATTGAAATTGCATGAATCTGATTTTACATGTTGACAAATTGTCAAATGACATTCACTTGTCATTTGACAATTATTGATTTTTATGAAATCTTGTATATTTCTAGTTGTTTATTAAATTACAAGAGCATTCGATTTATTGATAGAAAATTTGAATGTGAATTGAAATTGAAATCATTATGTTTTTTGCTATTACTTCTCTTGGAATCTCCAGGCTTCCAGTTGGACCATACATCCCAATAATGAATACACATAAGAGAATAATAATGCCTATTGAATGGGTCGAATATCCATACTCCCAGGAAGTTGAAAACGGCTGGTTGAAGAAGCTCAAGAGGCACCTTGGTGGAGGCGTCATCATGTATGGCATTCCATTCCAAGAAGCCGAAGAAAATAAGAAATGGCCAGTACTCCCCCGTAAAATTAGACCAAATCCAAAATTACCAGGACCAATATATATCAAGAAGGCCGAAAAGAATGCATTCAGACCAATCCCAATGCATCCACCACCATACTTCCAGGAAGATGAAAATGGCTGGTTCAAGAAGTTCAAGAGGTACCTTGGTGCAGGCGGTGTCATGGTTGGCATCCCATTCCAAGAAGCCGAAGAAAATAGGTGGCCAAGACCAACTAGACCAGATCCAATATTCCCAGGACCAATATATATCCAGAAGGCCGAAAAGAATGCATTCAGACCAATCCCAATGCATCCACCACCATACTTCCAGGAAGATGAAAACGGCTGGTTCAAGAAGCTCGCTAAACGCGTTGGTGTCGGCGCCGCTATAAAGATTCTACTCCAAGAAGCCGAAGAAAATGGCCCATTCGAACCAATCCCAATCCATCCACCACCACACTTCCAGGAAGATGAAAACGGCTGGCTCAAGAAGCTCGCTAAACGCGTTGGTGTCGGCGCCGCTATAAAGATTCTACTCCAAGAAGCCGAAGAAAATGGCCCATTCGAACCAATCCCAATCCATCCACCACCACACTTCCAGGAAGATGAAAACGGCTGGCTCAAGAAGCTCAAGAGGTACATTGGTGGAGGCGCCATCATGTATGGCATCCCATTCCAAGAAGCCGAAGAAAACAGCATGTGGACAAAATTCCGCGATGGTGTTCTCAAGCCAGCCGTCATCGAGGCTATCCTACGCCAGGAACAAGAAGAAAACAGAATTTGGGATTTGGGTAGTTGTTTCCACATATATCCCAAACAAAAGTAAATCTTGCTCTGCCGAAAGAGTAAGTACTTTAAAACACGGGTAAACAATTTTATTTTCCTAATTGATGCGAATATTTTTGAATTCTTTTTTTTTAACAAAACAAAAATAGACAATAAAAGGAAAGAAATAAAATATAGTAGAAAAGAATTAATAATTGTGGATAAAGCTAATTGGTATTTACAGATTAATTTAAGGGATATCTGACAAATCTAGATACTTTTTCCATTTTTGAGATGTATTATAGTCCCATATTCTTAGTGGATGTGCTTCTGTATTAAAAATCCATTCATCTGGGTGAATAAAATCATTATCTTCGAAAGTTAAGTACAAATATTTCAATGTTTCGGCCAAAAAGTAACTTTCCATAACCTTTAGACTCCATCTTGATCCATTAACATTATAAACACCGACATATCCGTTGGAAACTTTGCAATATTTAACAATTCTTTTGAAAATTTCCCAATTATACTGTCTAGATATCTCTTTTCCAGTAAATTTCCAGAGTAAGTATATGGATTCAATTGTTTCTGGACGTAAAACATATGATTCGGACCAAAATGAAATAATATATTCTCCATCGTCAAAATCATAGTCAAACATATCGGCACCAAGACCCGTCTTAAATAGATTATATAATTTATAATATCCGTGAGTTAACTCTTCTGCAATGTTGAGATCAGAATTCCATTCAGAATTTTCTTTAACTGCTCCTGTTGCAATTGTACCAGCATAAAATGTGGATAAATGTCTAATCCGGTAGATTATTTTACCATCGTCATAATCGTGAAGAATGGTAATATTATTAACTTTTCCTATTGCTTTCTCTTTTATCATTGCTAAGTATTTCATGTGTTTCTCAAGTAATTTGGATGATGTTCGGCCGGATAAAATGTAGCTTTTTATGATATATTCGTAATATGAATCTGTTCCTCCAGTGATTCGAATAATATCGGAAGAATTCGACTGATTTACATCAACGATACCGACTTTTCCTGGAAATTTTGTCCATAAGTGTCTATAAAGTCGAGTTGATAATTCTATGTATTTTGGATCGTTTGTAAGCTCTGCTAAGGTCATGAATTCTAACTGCATTGATCCTTGTTCAGCAAGTGCACCTCCATAGTCGCCAATACACTCTGCTGAAATTTTTCCTTCATTATCAGTTTCAAACTTTGCTTCTAAGCAAATTTGACCTGTATTCTTATCAAAAAGTTCGTATATTTCACTACCTAGTTGTTTAGAAATGTTTAAGAAAAAAGGATCATTTGATAATTGATAAGCAGATAAAAATCCGCCAAGAAATCGAATAATGGTTTCGAATGTGCTCCACGTTCCGTTAAATTTGTATTTGGTCTTTAAATAGTCTCTCGAGTAATTAAATTCGTCATATAACCCCATTATATATAATGTTGATAAAGAATCAACTATAGTGAGTCCATCGATGTTATTTCTGCATTCTAATTGTATTGGTAACAGTTCTGAATATCCCCAACAATACTTCTTGTATTTTTTCCAAGCAAATTTAAATTCTTCTTTAATTTTTTGAAGTTTATTAGAATCTTTGTATACTTTAGGAATAGAGAAAGGATAGATGGATGTTGAGATTGACTCATTTATTGAAAATTGATTCGGATAAATTGAAAATATTCGTAATGGACGTAAAAGAATCAATAGTGATATTGCATTGAGGAAAATAAAGAATTTAAGTAACTTGGAAATAGATATTTCTCTCTTGACACTCATATCAACATTGAACCAAATTACAATGAAAAAACTGAATAAAAATTGTAATAAAAATGAATCCAGTATTTAATGATGATTAATATTTGAGATAGATTTTGTAATTGGATAATAAATAAAAAATAAGATTTTGGCTAAAATCGAATTGAACAATAATCAATGATATGACGGTTCCAATTTGGACTTTTTAATTGGTGTTCATAATAGAATTAAATAAAAATGATCAAAGCTACAGACAAAATGAAAAACTAATGGACGTGTATGGATTTAACGATTTAAAATAGTATGGATATTTATCTGAATCTTCAATATGTGTGTAATATGATATAGAATAGTTTCATAGATATATGGAATGACATTTTCAATTGATATGAGTTTCAAAAGGATATTTTTTACTCTATTCGAATATAATTTCTACCAGTAATAAAATTATATAAATATTTTCACATATGCGGAACTATGAATCTTTACTTATTGGAACAGTGAAAATAGAATTCCTATATTTTTCGATAATTAAACGGAGTTAAGAGATATATGGTGCTAAGTAATCGGAATTATAGTCATTTTATTCCATAATCGTAAAAACTTATAAAAAAAAATCAGAGGTGGCATAAAATACGTTATAAAAAATGGATACACCAATGCCATGCTTTGCACTGACTGTGGCGTGTAAAAATATTAAAATTGTTATAATTTGAGAAGAATAAGAGGGGAAAAAGCCTATAAAGTTATCTTTCAAATAATTTTCTGAATAAAAAAATAAAATATTAATAATTTTTAATTATAGATGTAATGCACGTTGATTTTAGATTAGAGTAGAGATAATTGAATGGTATTTAATATTGAAAAGTGATTACAAATAATTTTTAAAAATTCATTAATACATAATGCAGTATTTGGCCTCGATGAAGTAAAACGTATACATGAAATTGAAAGTATCTGAATTGTTTAGGTTCTTTTCAATCATTGTCATGCATAAAAAAGAGCATTATAATATTATAAATATATTTTTGTATTATATATTTGAAGGTTAATTTATATGATTCAAAAAGTTATCATTTACAAATTATATGATTCAATCAAATATATTAAATTTTTGATGTGATTCCCATCTAACATATATTGTTGCTGCAAATAAACGATCAGCTTCCAACGTATCTCTTTTCATATCTATGATTTTCTTTTTAAATTCTGAATCAATGACCATATCTACTAGATCCAGTATTTGGACTCAAAAAATATTTTCAATGCCCAATAAAGCCGATGTGTTCCATTTTGAGAACTTTGAATAATTAGCAAGTCTCATCACACTTTTCAATGCTCGATTTTTAAAAACTGTTTAAAAATGGAGCTTCTATTGAAATAGTGTAGAGACTAAAAATTACCACAGACTATTTCGGAGGATTGAGTGGCAACTCAATCCTCTGAAAAGTCTGAGGTAATTTGCAAAATTTTGAAACTACATTCAATCTGAAAGTTTGTAATGACATGACAATTCAGATTATTGATTCATATATCTATAATCTTACTAAAATGATAACGTCCATTTTGCGGAACCAAAAATTCGCTATTCATCAATTTATTATAAATTTGATCCTTCATTTAATTTGATTTTCTGAAATATTCAAAATCTCAATACTATTCAATTTTTGAGAACGAGATTATTTACGACCATCATAATAAATTCATATATTTTTAGATCTCTAATAATATATTATACTTTAAAATATTTAATTATTTTTATCAATTATTTTCTTTTTGCTATGGAAACTCCTGATCCCATCCTACTTGAATCTTTAGGCTTTGAATATCGGGGTATAATAGCTAAAGGAGGATATGGAACGGTATTTAATGTCTATAGCCCTCAATATCGTATGAATTTTGCATTAAAGCGAATTTCAAGCGAAAAATTTCATGATTCTGAAATAGAATGCATGCTCCAAATCCGTTCGCCATATACTGTAACATTATATAAATATGTTCGCAGTGGTGAATATGTATACTTGATTCTTGAGTACTGTCCGAATTCATTAGACAAAATAATCATTCAAAATCCACGTTTGCCATTAGAAAAGCAATTAAAAATGGCTTTTGGAATGGTTCTTGCTCTTAAAGGCTGTCACGAGTTTGGAATTAGTCATGGCGATATTAAACCATCCAATTTCTTAATAGACAACTATGGCAGAATCAAGATTTGCGACTTTGGTTTGTCTCAAAAGATTACAGAAGAACCAAATACTATTAATCTAGTTGGAACTTTGGCATATAGATCTCCTGAAATGATTAAAATGCAGCCATATGACGGATTTGCTGCTGACATATGGTCTCTAGGAGTAAGCCTCTTCATTTTATGCACTGGAACATATCCATGGAATATATCTTCCAGAGAAAAAATGTTAAAATCTATTACAAACGGTATTTTCGATGAAAGCTTAATTAAAGACCCGACCTTAAAAGAGATAATTGTTAAATGCCTTCAAGTAGATCCCAAAAAGAGACCTACTGCCCATGAAATAACAGATATGATAAGGATTAAGCCTGTAGAAGCAAGAAAAAAACTTGTCAGGGCAGTTCATTCGAGCGTTTATACCACATCCGTATCAAGATCAAATACAATTCGAAGGATTAGAAAGATACAATCGTTTTAATTTTCTTTGAATTATTGTTTGTTTGTAAATGCGTTATGTATAATACTGATTTTTATTTCATAGTATGTGTAAACGAATGTTCATCTATTGCCGATAAATATTATCAAAACTTTTAAATATCCAATGATTTACCTATCTTTGCACTTATTGGGCAATATTAAGCTATTTGGTAAAGAATTAATTCCAAGATTTTTTCCAAAATTTTTTCAAAATTTCATTGTTAAAATTAAAAAAATATAAATTTACTATGAAAAATAGCATTTTTTAAATTTTTTGGAAAATATGATATGATGCATTATGAAAAATAAATAGATATATTTCATATTTCGGCTTTTTTAAGCGAAAATTATTGATTTAAAAATACTATCAACCCAAAAATAGATTAAATAGATCAATAATTCATATCAATTTGATATATACAGTATTTAAAGTATATCGATAAGCTTGATATTAAGATATATAAGGTGCTAGCTTCTATTTCAGTTTCAATATTCTCAAATATATTATATGTATCTGTATTTTGATACTATATCATCTTATTTATTGTGTGAAGTAGGGAATTCAAGGTCAAGAAGTCAATAATCTTTTTTTATGTCAAAAACTATATATTATTTATCCGCAATAGCTAGTGAACACACAAATTCCATTAGATAATCATGATTTGTTGAACTTAATCTATCGAAAATTATAGACAGAGACTAATTATATCTTTTTTATAAATAGTAACTAAAATTATGCTTTACTCTATAAAATACATATAACTTCATGGTAATTTGAACAATGAATTAAAGAGAGAATTCATTGTCATATCATCTACCTTACTCCATATCTGTTCAAAAGTTTCAATATCTTGAATTGGAAAATTATATTCTGCTTCTTTTTTAGGTTCTTCTATATTTGTTGTATCTGCTTTAATTGCAATTTTTTCAATCTTGATTTGTTTGTGTTCTTTTCTTTTCGATTGGCTATGACGTTTAATCAATGACCATCTATTCTTAATTGCGAATGTAGATCTCCCTGGGAGATATTTACTAATATAAGACCACCTATTGCCACATTGATGCTGTAATTCAATAAGTGTGTTATCCTCATCATCTGTCCATTTCTCTTTATTTAGTTCTGGACATAGCGCAAATATCCATCTTTCTCTACACTGCTTACCGGTTCTTCCAGGAAGAGCTAAAGCAATTTCAGACCAATTTTGAAGTCCATGAAGTTCAACTTGTGATATAATAACTAAGTCTTCATCCTGTGTCCATTTATTCTTCGGCGTGCCCCTTTTCACTTTCATAGAAATATATTAAGATGAAATTGAAAGCAGGAAAAATTGAGGAGTAGTGAAATGTTTGTGAAGATAACCGTTGAGTTGAAAATAAAGAAACTAAGAAATTTTTTTGAGAAGATTTCAAATGAATATGAATGAACAGTTTCAAAAGATTATGGCAATTAGATTAATTTCGTGGGATTATAAATTGAATAAACTGTTAAAACTGTTTAAATTACATTAATGATAATTAGATAGTATTATTAGATGCTTATTATAGATAGGAAATTCCTCAGAAAGATTATCGTATTTTTATGTTTTCAATAATTTATGTTCAAATATTGAATTATATAATATTTAAAGTTTATTTTTACTAAATTATTTTGTGTTAATTGAATGATAATTCAAATTTGAATGTAAAATGTTGAATGAAAAATGCTAATTTGAAATATTGGTTAAGTTACGGAGTGTACTTAATATTTGAAAAATTTTGTATTTCATAGTTTGAATAATTTTAGAAATTTTGTAAACACGGGATTGAATTTAAATTTATTCCGATGATTTGGAGATATGAACAAATATTCTACATGTTTACATCCCATTTTCCTATAGAACGTTGGTTGATTTTTCAAGATGTTTGTGAGATCTAAACAAAATTTGAATCCTTACATTTCTCAATTTAACATTGAAGAAATGGGAATAATTTCGCAGAATTACAATAGTCAATATAATCTTTACTCACAATACTTAATAAAAGTAATTTTCTCGCACTAACAATTTATTCAAATCTCACAATTTATAACCGAGAATTTTCAATTTTTTTAATTGATAATCTGGATCAATATATGTATCTCTAAAATCATTTTATAAATACCTCAATTTCTTTCAATTTTCACAAAAAAATTGTTGAGACTATGTTTTATGTACTAATTCAATTCATATGTCACTTCATTATATTTTTTCATAATTTGGTCGTTCTTTCTCAATATTTTTTTACACATTTTATTACCTTATTTCATTTCCAGTTACTTTCTTTGTTATCCAAAATAACCATATTCAATAAAACCGATAAATTTACAAAAACTGGTAACTTTCTATCAAATAATCCATTTCTTTATAATACATTTACCTTACAGCACATAATAATATTTTATTATTTTTCAATTCTTTAAAGTATCTCATTTTCATGGTATTTTTTCCTTTTCCCATAAATTCTCTTAATATGCTCTTCTATTATTTTCATTTAATTTTTTTTTTCAATTTTTGCCATATTCATATTTCATTATTAACGAAATCTCAAAGATATCCCTCGTTACCATTCTGATTCGAATCATGATATTAATATTTTGATACATTAATATTGATTTGGTATTATCCCCTTAAGAAAAAATGATCTTAAATTTCCATTCAGTAAACGAGTATAGTTTATTTAAAAATCGCCACAATTCACACTGGTACAATCTATTCAACTTCATTTTGTATGGTGAAAATTAATAAATTAAAATCTCATCCGCACTCATTCTTATAAGCATATAGTTCATATGCATTTGTCTGAACAAATACCTTCTAAACTTCTTTATCGAAAAATGATTCGAGAATTGAGATCCAAATTGTAGCTGAATGTGGATAATATTGTAGTTCAATAGTCCAACATGAATTCGAGTTTGCTAAGTCCTTTAGTCCTGTCCAAGTTCAAACCACTACTGTTCACACGCTGAGTCATTAATCAAAATAAAACGATGCTTCATTTTTTTGAATGTTGATTTTATGATGAACTTGCAATTTGCATAAAAACTTTTTTCATTCAATTGAAGTTTTTCATGAATCAAATTTATATGTTCAGGTTGATCCTCTTCAAAAATATATATATTTTGATTATCCATGTAATTCCCCAAAGGAATGTTCTCCATACAAGATAACATTAAAAAAAGGGCTATATTACCTCGAAGTCTGGGGTGCTCAAGGCGGAAATTCCACCGCAAGACCTGTTATTGAATATGGCGGATTTGGCGGTTATTCTGCCGGTGTTTTTTTTTGCGAACCAAACATCGACTTTATATCTCCATATCGGAGCAACTGCCAACACCTCGACATATTTTGGCCCGACATATAACGGCGGCGCCAAAAGGCTAACAATTAATGATGGATGTGGATGTGGAGCCACTGATTTCAGAACAAAATCCGGCGGTTGGGATTCAAATTTTGAATTGAGAATTTTGATAGCAGGTGGCGGTGGGGGCGCTTACAGTAACGAAGACAGTTATCATTCTAGAGGTGGCCGTGGGGGTGGACTTAACGGTGAAACTGATGCAAGCGGGAAAGCTCCTTATGGAACACCTAATGGATGCGGCGGAACAATTCGAGAAAAATGCGGAGAGTTCGGAAAAGGAACGGGAAATATATACGGGGGTGGCGGAGGGGGAAAATACGGAGGAGGCACAACAAATAATGGCAACAATGGCGGTGGCGGAGGATCCGGAAGTGTGGAAGGTGTTGGAGAGCTTGGAAAGTATAAAAAAATTACAGATTTCTCTAAACATACTGGGAATGGAGCAGCAAGAATTACTGGCATACTGCTGATAGATAGTCCCTCCGTTTGTGTATGTAATTGCATGCTATTTGCTCAATATCTACATTTATTATTTTCAATTGTTGTTTCTTAAAAATAAATAAAAGATTAATGATAATTGTATTTTCTTTTGATATGATTCAACAATAAACATTTACAAAATATGTTTATTGAAGATCGATAACAATAATTTCCAATGATAAGCATATGACTTTTGTAGACCAAATAGTATAAAAATTCACCAGGATAAATGTAATCATCATAGGTCATTAATGAGCCTTTGAAATTCATGATCAACGGCTTTGCATTGTTGCCATTTAATCATCTTACACAAATAATGTAGAGCATAATTTTCATCAATAATGTTTGGGAAAACAGACGGTTATTTGGCTCTTTGATCTGACAGTTTCTTTCAAAAAATATCTCAAAATACACTGAAAAATTTGGGAAAAATTCATAATACATGAACAACGAAAAGCTTACTACGCACAGAATAAACTATGAGAATGGCGATCATTCCATCAATGAAGATGATGCAGAAGAGATGTCAATTGTATTTCACAAGGAAATTCTTGAATCAATTGACATCGCTCTAAATGAAGCATCAGAGTACGAAGATACTTCGGAATACGAATATAATTTTTAAATTATATGACCAAACTGTTTAACTCTATTACTTTCCCAAAATTATTTGTTCTTTTTTCGGATTATAAAAACTATCTTATTTTAATATAATATTTAATATTTTACAAGGATTAGTCTTTTATGTTTATATCACATATAGCATATTTATTGATGTTTTGCAATAAATAGATAAATATTCAACAGTAATTTTCAAGCCAAGTGGGCTGAACACAATGATGATAACAATATATGAAAAAATAAAGCGAAGTGTAACACAAACATTATTTTAATCATAGAAAAAAATGGAAAGGTTATTTTGGCCTATTATACTTTCTTGGTTGAGGATGCTTTGGAGTGAGGGATACAGCTGTTACATGCTTGGCCAGTTCTGCTTGCATTGTTGTAACAGAATTTGGTGTTCTTGGAGCAGAAGCTTCAGAATGCTTTTCTCTTTGCGGTGTTGACGATTGTTTTGTCTTCTTCGATCCATATCTGTCTGTAGTTGGCGTTGTATAACTCGAATCTGTAGTTTTTGTTGAAATTGGCGGCGGTTTTTCTGTAGCCTTGCGTAAAATCTTTGTTGGAGTATGTACTTGGTTCTTTGATACTACAGGAGATTGTGGAACTGATGGCTTTGAGATAAGTTCGTAAAATTTCAAAACATAACTTTGTTGTGGTCCAATGATGGATCCTGGCCTGCAAATTCTTATCCAGCCGATAGCTTCATCACCATCGAATCCGTAATCTTTAATCATGTAACAAGCTGCTAATGTTCCTGTTCTTCCTAAACCAGCTTTGCAATGGAGAGCAATTACATCATGACTTTCTATTATATCAAGAAACTTGTTCAAAATATCATTTGGAGGAACTGACCCATCAAGAAAATATAATTCTGTATGTTTGAAGCCGGCGTTGACGAAAAGTTTTTCATCGTAAAACCTCTGACATAGTCTAACAATTCTTGTAATTCCGCGCTCTCTAAATATCGGTATTAACTCTTTTGGAGTTGAAACTGTATATCCGCCTTGAATTTTATTAGTTGCATAAGGAGATGCGAAAGCGAGAAGCTTTCCTGGTATAAGCCAGTTCATATCTCCGTTCTCAACTTGCTCGTAGTATATAGTTTCCGAGGAATTAAATGTTTCAGGTCTATACCAGCCAAATTGCATAGCTCTGTAAAGACCCTTTAGACAATGCATGACTGTTAAGTCGTATGTCGATGGAAATGATGAAGCGTCTCTATAAGGTTTAAGCGAGGCTGCCAAATGCGACACAGGTGCAAAAGCCTCCGAAGGAGTTAGTCCGTTTTTGATCATATTGTAGCTTGATATAAACATTACAGCGTTAGCAATCTTTTGTGGAGTAAATCCACATACATATTGAATTTGCTCTTTATGTTCCGATAATATCTGATTTACAAGTAGATAAAAATTATGGATATGAGATAGCTCTGGTGGTCCAAAATCAGAGAAGAAAGGCAAATATTGAAATCTATCATCGTTATCAACGCTAAAGTTGAATAATGTAGACGTATTAGAGGGCTGGATTCTTAAAACAGAAAAAATCAGCCTGTCTTTTATTATCTGTATGTTTTGATGAGGCTGTGGAGGTGTATGCATTATTTATATTTTTTTGCTTCGTAAACGTAAAAGAACTTTTTATTCTTTTTTATAAAAGGTAAGGGTGAATTCATTATATATCACCCATACACATGCATTTTTCACGTGTCTCACATGCTTGATTGAGAATAATACCTTTCAATTTTTATATCTTGCATAATTTTTGAGCAATTATAACATTCTAACAGTAAAAATAGTATGAAATTATCAAACATATTGGAATGGACACATCGGTTTTGGCGAAAACCTTCATAAATCTATTATTGCTCCATTTCTCATTGAAAAAAATGCTATTGACATAATTATTCCTTAAAAATGCATTAGCTAACTTAAAACCAAACCAAATCAAATCAATTTCATCCTCAGAATTTTGATTTTGCTTCGCAACGATTGTTGACATTCGTATAAAAAATTGCATTCATGAAATGATGAGTCCATTTTCAAATGATATATAGATCCTGCTTGAGAATGATATGGACCATTTTGACATATTTCCCGAGGAACATTATATGGTATTACTATAATCAAAATGTATACTTCCCACGACAAGCAGAAACACTGGGGATCCATGTGAACATTTTTATAAGTAGATTACAAAGCGGAAATTTCGGAATTTCAAATTTGTAATTTTACAGTTCGCCCTTAATGTTGATTATTTCTGAATGGAATAAAAAGCGAGACGATTTATTATTGGATAGATCAAATATTTTTAATAATATAAAAAAAAGCAAAAATAAATAAAATATATGTCCGTAGTATAAGATAATATGATGGAGAAAACGCTGGAAATCACTTCATCAACTTACCCCCAAAGCATACTCTCCTGAAAATCTGTAAAATCAAAGTTATCAAGGAAGTCAATCTTTGGTTCGTTTGATTGCTCTTTAATTTCTGATGGTGGAGGGGTTTGCTCAACTGGAGGAACGATCTGTGAGAGCTGATCAGGTGCGTAAGATTTGATAGCGAAGGCATTCAATGTTTCAATTGGTGTACTTGATGGCTTCCTTCTAACAGACCACTTACGCAACTCAGTAGAGTTTTCTTTAAGGAATGAGTATTGGGCAATCATAGCATTTGCTGCAGCTGTCCTTCCAAGGTTTTCTGTAAATCCGAGTTTCTGAAGACTTCCATTGATTGAAGATTTACATCTTGAAATCAATAATTTGAGCTGATGGGTGTTGATTGCAATTCCTTCTGGAAGCCAGGCAATTCCACAAACAAGGCATCTAAGCTTATCATTAGAGTCCCCACGAATTGCAAAACCACGAACAGCTTCCATCGCTTCTGTAAAAGTTGCAATGCGACGATTCCTCTGATTTTTAGTTTCGCTGCTGGACAATGCAAGTCTAAGATAGTTATAACGCTGCATATCTATGGGATTGAGCATTCCCCAGTAAAGAGGACTTCCCATACGACCTTTACCCTTCTTCGGCATTGATTAAAATTTATGAAAAGAAGGACCATTCCAGCTATGAAAACTTATGGTGTAATTCAATTTATTGAATGGAAAGTGTCAACATAAACGGTTGAAATTTAGGAATATAAAAATATAATATGAAACAAATCGATTTCGAAAAATTTTATGATATCAAATTGTATAATCAAACCGCCAAAACCGTTGATGATTAAGAGGTTACCGGGTCGATGTTTTAGGAGGGATAGTGACATGATGCTAACTACATTTACTAAATTTAACAAATTGAGGTCAAATTCAATGTTTTCTTTCAAAATGTTACATTCAATCATGAAAACCGTTATGTGAAATTAAATAATTTTCATATCATTTAAGGGTTTCGTTTTGCTAAAATTGTCACTTTTATAGCATATTTGTTTTTGGATGTTTTGCGAAACCAAAAAAAAACTATGATATACAATGTGTGTGTAAAGAAAATACTTTATTTACTAGTTAAAAAATCATTTGGTATTGATCAAGTTATTTTTTCTGGATAAGATATTATATGGATAATTGGATAGAAAATACAATTATATAATCTTGTACCTGGTTTAATTAAGCTAATTGTCATCAGAAACTTGTAATTTTTATGAATTTCAGATTTTCTTTTCATTACTGCTTTTCTTAATAGGTCAAGTTCTTATTTACGTTATAAAGTATGATATTTACAAATATCAAGTTATCATGTTTTTTGAGAAATTATGAGAAACAAACAAAAATGAAAAAGATAGGAATAGCAATGAATAGTGATGTGGGTATAGAAAATGTAAGAGATATGAATGCAAAGCAATCAGTATTTAGGATATTGACCATAGATTTCGAAAAAAAAATGCTGCATATTGAGCGAAAACTATGATTATATTATAAGGCTGTCATTTAAAGCATAATGAAACTATTCCCTTTTCATTTTAATCGAATAAGATAGTAAAGATTTTTGAATTAGCTAGAAACTGATGAGATGTTTTCACAAATCAGATTTTTAATCTCTATAATGCATAATTCACTCAATATCTCAATTTTGATATTGCGAGATATTTTTGCTATCGGTTTAGCAATTTTGACACAATAGCAAGAGGGTTCTATAAGCATTATTATCAACGTAGAATCTGAATATCATATCAGAAAATGTCGCAAATCTGACATTTACCCGACCAAATAGCAAAAATAATTGAATACTTTTCGCAAAAACCTTAAAAATCGATAAAAATATGAAATATAGATATTAAAGAGACTTTTTATATAATATTCATAAATATTTTCCAAAAATATGATACCGCAAAATTAAAAAAGTGACGTCTTGAGTGGAGTCAAAGGTCGAAATTGCTAGCTAAATGTTTTTTTAGCGAAATTGCGTATTGTACGTTTTTTTCGCAAAACGAAACCCTTATATCATTGCATTTAATATTATTAAATACATACTATTTAAGAAATTATTCACAATTTTGAACATACTTTTTGATTTTCTTTTTTACCCCTTGAATTTGGGTCAGAAATAAAAATCGACAATTGACACTGAGCATATAAGTTCCTTATCTCTCTAGCTCCTCTCTGTTCATTTCAGAAATAAAAATCAATAAGTAATTATGAGAAAATTCGGGGCGGCGACAAATTTGCCCAGCCAGTAAAGTATTCAATTTTTTTTGCATTTTTTTTAAAGCTTCTTAACTTAAATCATGGAATGTCTCAAAGACAAAAGTAGCATACAGCATGTAAAGCTAAAGAAAGATAATCATAATTAATACCTTAATTTTTAATATTACGCATTTTTAGGTGCAAAATTTAAAAACATTCTAATACAATAGAGCAGTTTCCAAAAGTAGCATACAGCATGTAAAGCTAAAGAAAGATAATCATAATTAATACCTTAATTTTTAATATTACGCATTTTTAGGTGCAAAATTTAAAAACATTCTAATACAATAGAGCAGTTTCCAAAAGTAGCATACAGCATGTAAAGCTAAAGAAAGATAATCATAATTAATACCTTAATTTTTAATATTACGCATTTTTAGGTGCAAAATTTAAAAACATTCTAATACAATAGAGCAGTTTCCAAAAGTAGCATACAGCATGTAAAGCTAAAGAAAGATAATCATAATTAATACCTTAATTTTTAATATTACGCATTTTTAGGTGCAAAATTTAAAAACATTCTAATACAATAGAGCAGTTTCCAAAAGTAGCATACAGCATGTAAAGCTAAAGAAAGATAATCATAATTAATACTTTTAAAGTTTAAAATCTTGATTTTTTTTAAAATCAAATATTTATAACTTTAATACATACAGCTTAAACCTTATACTTGTTTTCTCTTGTGAGAAAGCAATCTTACAAAGCTAACAATCCTAAAAAATAAAGAATTAAAATTTAATAATTTAATCTAACAAAATTTCTCTCTTTATCCTTTTGCACTCTTTATATGCAACTCAAATCCATCATATAATATTCCTATAATACTCTTGCCTCAAACAATGACGAACAAACTGCTATTCTCATTTAATTACAGACCAAATCTATTCAAATTTCTGAATTTTTAATTTTCATTTCAATTTCAAATGGAATTAGAAGAAGAAACTATCTTTACTGTTATGGATCTTTGTAAATTTGGAGTTAAACAAGAAATACAAGCACAGTATGGATATGGTGAACGTGTCAGGAAAGAAAGATCTCAGATTTCATTCCACTGCAAATATCCAAAATGTCCTGCACATTTTAATGTTGCAATCTTGGATCAAAATAAATACAAACTCATCAAAATAGTTGAAGAACATGATCATTCCGCCCCAAATGACAAAAGTCAATATTCGTCTGTCTTTTATCGCAAATATTTAGAACATTACTTCCAAACAGATGACAATCAAAGAGCGATAGCACAGCTAAATGCATTCAAAGATCTTGAAATTCCTCTTACAGGTCCGTCCATTCCAGAGATGTACGCTCAAAAACCACGTGCAATCAAACAATTTGCAGAGAGAATACATGCTCTTCAAACTAGATATTCTCCTGACGATGTTGTGTCATTGCAAATCTTTGTTCAGACAGTACAAGAAGAATCTCCAGATGATCTCATTGCATTTGAAGTCTCAGACAATAATATGTGTTTCTATTACGCGCCTTTTGAAGGCAAAGCTTATGCGCATAGTATCAAGACATTTCATATAGACAGCACCTATAAATTGTTGCGATCAAACATTCCATTGTATGCATTTACTGGCAAAATCAAAGATTTTCACATTTTCCCTTTTTTATATTTCTTTTGTCAACTAGACACTTATCAAAACATTCAAGTTTGCGTGTGCGCCTATCTCAGATGGGTAACAATAGTTAGTATCCCTAAGTCGTGTACTGTGGCACTGCGCGTCTCCTTACACCACTTAACGGTTTTGACACTTTACGAAACCGTTAACGTATATTTTACAACACAAACGCAAACACTAACTTAACCTTAAATATTTACAAAGCCGCCAACCACTTCACTAACGAACTCACTAATGTAAAAATAAACGTTCTCACTTACAAAAGTATTGCAACTCCTCCCATTGCTGTGCTTCACATAACAGCTCATAATCTTCTGACTCACTTTCTTCTTCATATAGGTCAAAATCACTGTCAAAATAAATGTTAGTAAGTTTTGACAAAGCTAATGAAACACGTTTACCGTTTGTATCGTATGCTTGTATAAACTTTCCATTCTTCATTCCTTCATAAACGCTTAAACTAACTTTACCCTTTCTCCCTCGTATCTGATAGAATGTATTTTCACGAGGAACGAAGAACAAATTCTTGAACTCATGACCGTTGTAGTTTGTTATCTCAATAGTTTTCGTCATTTACATCCAAATAAACTTAAAAATAAAATAAAAAATAAATGATATCACCACCCTCACACGTATGAAAACATAGCACAAAAATAAATTTAGGGTAGAATGTTAGATCTAACACGTTTTCTAACCTCTTTTCTAACCATGTTGAATTCATTACTTTATAACTCTCTTCCTTGGTTTCTTTTTAGTTGCTTTCTTCACGTCTGTCTCCAGCTTAACTGTCTTTCTTCTTCGTCCGTAATGATACCAGTTACTTCCACCAGTCAATGGGTCAAATGGTCTTTCGTAAGGGTTTCCATACATTCCATAGGGACCATACGGAAGAACTACTGGTGGAGAAGAAACATTTTCTTTAGTTCCATCGAATCTATTTAAATGCATTGTTTCACCTTTCATCTGGTCATTAAAGTCTTTTGCATGTTTTGCAAACTCATCGTCCTTTCCTAAAGCATTTTCTGACTCAGTCGCAACCAAATTGGATGCTTTATTTATGAGCCCTATTTTATTTAATCTTAACTTCTTTGCAACCCAGCCTCCAATCTTTCCTTTATTTGCATCTAATGTCTTCGAAACTCTTCCTCCACTCATTTTATTTACTGCGTCATAAGCCCCAAGTGCTTTTGCTCCAAATGCTAATGCTTTTGTTCCCATTGCGCCTAAAGCTGTCCAAGCTACCATTTACACCATATTAAAATCATCTCTCTTCAATATTATCTCATAAAAGTTCTCTTTACTGGAGAAAGTCAATGAAACATAAACATTCTCATTCATAAACTTCTTTCTTATCTCATCTATACGCTTCAAAATGTCTGAACAATTGCTAACATCTTCTACAACAGTTATTTCATCATGAATGACCTTCAAGAACAAGCTCATTTAATATGCTATTAAAATCATCTCAATAATGAGTCCATCCTTTCCATCTTTAGGTAGCACAACATCTTTCATTGAAGAAGGTTCAACAAGTCTTATATTAAACTTACTGACAAAGTTTGTTATACTATAATGCTTCGGCGGCGAATACATATAGTTTGAAAGACATAATATAGATTCTTCAGCAAATTCACTTATACTGGATTTTATAACAATGTTCTCACGAGACCAAATACCACCAATTGACAATCTTGTAAGCAATCCTGCTGAACCTTCTACTGTAAA